GCTTGCGGTTCCTCTGCTGCTTTGGGAGGCTCCCACTCGTGCCTCGCTGACTTGCTTTGGCAAAAACACATGCTTCCGTTTTCTGAGGCCGGCGCTCGGGCTCCCAGGTGTCCCACGGAAACGTGGGCGGGTCCTGGCGTACGGGTGCTAGACTGGCTGGCCTCCGTTTCCAGTGGGCTTTTGGGCTGTGACGCTGCCGTGGAGGCCGTGGCGGCCCACGCCGTGGCGGCCTTGATTTGGCCCCTGCCTTGCCCCACCTGAGTCTTGAACTCCATTGCCGGCCTCAGCAGGGCTTGTAGTATTTTTTCATTCAAAATAAAAGTGTAAATGAACAAATCAGGAGGCCGCTACAGCTATGAATATACATTCTCGTACTTGATTTCTTTTGCGCGCGACTAAAGAAGGAGCTAGTGCTACTCCGCTGCTGCACGTCGAGCAAGTGCTCTTGCCAGCTTCTCCTCAAGCTTCGCGATCTGCTCGCGAATCACGTCGGGCCTAAGCTTACACATTGTAGGCACATGATGCGGTCTTCAAACACACTCCACTTGCAGTGATGAGCTCACATGAGGTCGGCACTCCTCGTCGCTTTCCTCAGCAGGTAGTCCATCCTCATCAGTCATATCAGTCATGAGTGTGAGGATGTGTGGGGATGTGTTGGGATGCGTGGGGTATGGGGGTCCTCTTGCTCCTGATAGATCTCCTCAGCCTCAGGATGTGGGTCCTTCAAGGCCCCGGAGGGCCACAGGCTTGCGAAGTCTTTGGGGCAGGAGCTCTCCACGTACGAGTTGCCGCGAAAACTCTGCAAATGGGCCTGCTCAGGATGGAAATCTTCCTGGTTTTCTGCTTCTTCGTCTTGCTCCTGTTCGGCTTCTTGCTCCCCGTCCTCCTCCTCTTCCAGCCCTACTTCCTGCAGACAGCCGTGTCTCGCCAATTGTGGCACAGCAAAGTGTCTCAAGCGCACGATGCTGCGATCCTCCTGCCGCTCTTGCGTGTCGAGCCCTCGCAGCCTGACAATCGCTGATACGCCGCTTCTTGCAACAGTGCTCTTTACAGCATGATTTAATCTCTGGCCTGGACATCATCATGGCATGCGCCACGTAGATGCTCACTAATGTGCCTACGAGCAACACAAGTGCAGCCTGAGAATCATTACTAATAATACTAATAATGATAATAGTAATAATAATAGGAAGAATAGTAATAATAGTAAGAATAGTAAGAATAGTAAGAATAGTAAGAATAGTAAGAATAGTAAGAATAGTAAGAATAATAATAATGGTAATAATAGTAATAATAATAATAGTAATAATAGTAATAATAGTAATAATAGTAATAATAATAATAGTAATAATAGTAATAATAATAAGAATAGTAATAATGGTAATATGTAATAAATAATAGTGAATAATAAGATGTAATAATAGTAATAATAGTAATAACAGTAATAATAGTAATAATAGTAATAATAGTAATAATAGTAATAATAGTAATAATAGTAATAATAGTAATAATAGTAATAATAGTAATAATAGTAATAATAGTAATAATAGTAATAATAGTAATAATAGTAATAATAGTAATAATAGTAATAATAATAATAATAGTAATAATAGTAAGAATAGTAATAATACTAGGAATAATAGTAATAATAATAACACAATCAACCAATCTGCACAACCTGACAGGGCAAGCCGAGTCGGTCACCCACAAGGGTCATCGTCCTGTGGCCACCGGGATGCTTCAAACGTCCGTGGCTCGTGGCCCTTACTATTACAGTACTATGCCATTCTATTACCATGTTATATCATATTATTCTACTAGTTTGTTGCTTTTTTTTCATATTCCTATTTTGCAATCCATTCTCGCCTCCAATCTCCCCTCCATTCGCTCGGCTTCTCGATCTCAATCTGAGCACCGGAGGCCTGGGATCATGCGCCGGGCAGAAGCTACTGTAGGACCGCACACGGCGTGGCCTGCTGCACTTGCCGAATGAACTCGCCACCAGTGCCCACAAGCGCTCCAACCTTCGTGCTCGGCCAGGGAAAATCGCGCATTAGGAGCCCCTCATGAGGGGGTGAAGCTCGACGGGTCACTGATCTGAAGAGTTGAGGGCTCGGCTCGAGCAGCCGGAACTTCGCAGCAAACAGAGTACCTGTCAGTGGCGTTTCAGTTGGGCTTCGGGTGTTGGTGAGAAGACTGGCTGTTAAATTTGACTGGTTAATTAAACCTTTTATGTTGAGGTGCGACATCTTGACCGTCCCAGGCGGGAAGCTCTCCAGCTCTGTGGCCTGAGCCCCAGGAGGACGAACGCAAAGCTTCCCAACAACGTCAGCAAAAAGGCAGCCGAGCCCATGGCCAAGTCGTCTACTTCCTGACGCGACACAAACTTAGGGTCTAGGGCCTAGGGTTTAGGGTTCGGGGCCATGGAACCGAGCACCAAACTGCCAGAACGGGCTACGTCGGCCGCAAGGTCTTTATCGAAACAGATGGGTTTGCCAAAGTCCATTTACCCGGACGAATCGAGATGACTGGGCCTCCTTGACGTGTCCGCTCTCCTCCGTCTCTGCCGCGCGTCCTGCTGGGCAAGGTGCTTTCGCCCGGCCCACCACAAACGGATAAGGCCCTAGCCATTGGCTGGACCATTGGCAGGTGGAAGGACAGCAGGTGGCGGTGGAGGTACTATGTTTTTGAGCAAGCTCTCCATAACTGGACCTGAATGTATCAGCTTCGGAACAAGACGCATCCAGGCACACTACGCTTGATACATCACTGCGCCAAGAGCATGTCTTCCAAGTTGTGCACCAGCTTTTTGAGAGGCCTCAAATGGTGGTGAAGTTTGCTCCTGTTCTTTTGTAGCCATCATCGACTCTCCGAAGCTCCCCTTGCCTTGGGCATCGCTTTCAGCGTGGACGCCCGGGAGCCTTTCCCTGCCTTGCACGACCACTGCACTGCCCGAGGATGGGGGCTCAAGTGCAGGGCTCTCTGGCTCTCTGATTCTGGACATTCCGCATGGCCATCCGAGGGCTCCGCTGGCACGGCGGATCCTGCAGGGCAGTGAACAAGATATCCAGCATGTCTTTGCACAGCAATCCAAGTAAGGATCACACTTCGAGGGCCCGAGGGCTTGTCGAGGTCCTCTTGGGACGACGGGGGAGGCAACGGAAAAAAAATCACCAGCCAATTTAATGACTTCGATGGGTCCTTGGGCTCCGGGGGTGGCTCCCAGCCACGCTGCAAGGCCTAGGTCAGCTGAGGGTTAGGGTTTAGGGTTTAGGGTTTAGGGCTTAGGGCTTAGGGTGATTCATGTACACGGGTTGCACATACTTCCACCATTTTGGCTGCGCCATTGAGAGTGGCCTCGCCAAAGTTGACGATGCGGGAGAAGCCCTGGTAAAACTCCTCCTGGCACAGAGGCTCCCTTGAAGTCTTCCGCATGGTCGCAAGAAGAGGCAGTGAGGGTGTCGGACATGTTGGTTTACTGCTTGCTCCTCGTACTCGCTCTCGCACTGCACAAATCTCAGATACTTCAGATGCAGAAAAAGCCACGTCGTCAGCGTTCCGTGGCAGGCTGTGGCTACTACTCGTTGATGTGCCGTAGCGCGGCCATGATGGTCGGGGGCCTGAGCATGGTGGTGATAACGAATGTGTGTCAGTGTCCGCTCCGGCCCCACCCCCTACGCTCGACAACCAAGCTTCGCGCGTGCCGATGACTTTGCCTTGCAAAACAGCCCATCAATAGACGTGTAAGGCCACTGCGTGAAGCGGCTCGCATATGACCGAGAAGGCTTTCCCATGCAGCATGCTGTCGACACACAGCTGCTCACAGCTGCCTGCACGATGTCCGGCCACAGTCTCGTTCTCGACAAACACCTATAGGAGTTTTGCAAGGGAATGCCGCTTTAACTTTAATCACTGCCTTCATTCCTAACGACTGGCCACTCTCTCAGGGGCCTTTGCACCCGAATCTTGGCGGATGAACCTGATGTTGTTGCCCTGGGTGCCAACCTCAGTGTCTCTGAATCAGACATGCCTGACAACCTGTATTCCATTAAGGAACGATCCTAAACCCAAAACCCTAGATCCTAAACCCTAAACCCTGAGGCGCTGTCGATTTGGCTCTGCATTCGCCTCGTAAGGATGAACCTTAGCGGCACCGATGCATACGCACACGGAAGCAAATGGCAGTTGAGTCGGGCAAGCTATGGCAGGAGCCGGAGGATGTACCTGTGTGCAAATAGTAGGAGAGTCATCGTCTTTGCTGTGGTCATCAACTACTCATTCAATTCGGGGCACTCGCCCGGTTCCTTTCCACACAACTCTGTTTGACCAGCAGGCCTGTCGCCAAAGCAGTGTCGCATAGCCATCTCAGCATCTGCGAAATCTGCATAGCGTTCTGGGATGCCAGCTGAGCTTTTCTTTCCTCATCTCCGTGCAGTATGAGCTGCGACATGATGCAGTTGAACCTCCGCGGAACTCAAGGCTGAGCTCGAGATGAACCAAGATTAACCTGATTGAAGGGCCCTTGGATGGCTTTTGAGGCCCCCGCACGTTGAGTATGGCTCCCGGATCATCGGTGTAGATGCCCAAGACCTCAGTTCGGCGCTTGATGCTGTTTGCCAACACATCGCACAGACTTGCCTGTGCACACATGCACTTGAGCGTGCTGCCCTGTACCGTGTTTCTGGGAAGTAATCGTTTCTGTTGCTGAAGACAAGTCTCGCGCCAGTCTCCTGCAACCGGCACGTTTCGCGAATGCATATGCCACCCACAGATCCGGAAGCTGCTCCTTTTGAATCTCATCTTTGGTTGAGCCATGTGAGCCTGGCAAGTGATTCTGCCCACCGTTGCATCTCGGGCACAAGGGGTTTCTGGCAAGCTCATCTGATTCGTGGAGAACTGACGCGGAGCCCTGTTCCTTTTCAGCACGCGGCCTAGCAAGCCTGCTGCCAAACCGTCTGTGACAAGAACCTTCCATGAGCGCTGCAGAATCTCGACACCTGGATGAATATACATTGAATATACCCGGCAAAATTACACCAAAAAGCCTGCCTTGAAGGCGTGCTTTGTCCTTGGGATGTTCCCCAGGCCCGACTGACCGTAGCCGATGGCATTCAGACCTTGGACAGCTTCAACAAGGGTTCTGCTGGAAAGACCGGCTGCAATCACACATATATGTTTGCAGGATCCTTGTGTTTATGTGGTTTTTTTGGGCACCTAACATAAGGTGATGTATCCTTTGAACATCACCCGCTTCTTCTTCACTCGTGGCTCACTCCATCACGTTCGAATCACACGAGATCACTTTGAAGAATGGAGCTATGCCGGTCATGAGCCAACCACGCTTTGCTGGCGGCTCTCCAATGATCTGCGACTCGCCATCGCGCCCTTAGTAGCTAGTGCTCGTTGAACCGAGTGGGCGCAGCTAGGTGCAGCTTCAGCATGTTAAGTTCTCAGCCATGGTTGCGCTTCATGCCGCATCACAAGCTAGGCAGCTGTGCATGTGTTCGACCATGCTTCTGCGGATTCCGTGCTGCTCAGTGACTACCCCGTGACAAGTACACAACAAGTGGTTGATCTTAGTTGATGCTTCGGATCGTGAAGAGAGGTATTCAAGATGTGTGGCGTGAGGAATGGCGAATGTGATGTTCAATGATTGGCAAACTCTCTATGACAGCTTCAGTTCGGTCCAACCGTGTGTCGGTGTCGGGAGGCAGGTCCCTACATGCCACTCCCCTCGACCAGTCTGGGCAAGCTGCAAAGTCCTGAGAGGTGGGGGGCAGTGACTGATTTGCGTGCGAGTGACACTGGTGGAAACTGTGGAAACACTGCTCGGAGGTGAAACCTTTGATGCTGGTAAACTCTCACCTTCAGAGAGTCCAAGCTGGAGTCCAAGTGAGTCCAAGCTCAAGAGCAACACACGTGCTTCGGCTTCCACTCTATCTTGACCCAACGGGTGGCTCTTACGGACACGCAATGGGCGCCCTGAAAAAATCGACAACCCTTGGTAGTACCACCGATGTCTTATGAACCTTGCGAGTATGACAAGCCCAAAACTTCTGTAATCTCTTTACATCATGAGCAATTTGGGGGTTTACGAAAATAGGGGACCCCCAATGTAGACCCCAAATAGTAGGAATCCCTCATAGTAAGGACCCCAAAATGAGGAACCCCGAATTTCGGAAGCACCCCAATTTCAGCCCACAGAAGCCTTGGACTCCGGAGCATCGGCTCTGCCTTCGGCAGTGCCGGAAGCAAGGGGCGCCCTCTTGCTTTCATGCCTCCTAAGAAGGTTTAGGGTTTAGGGTTAGTTCGGGTTGTCTCGGGGGGGGGGGAGGGGGGAGGGGGGAGGGAGGGAGGTGAAGCTTTGATGGTCCTGGCACGTGTGGGTCTCTTCCTGCTGGCTCTGAGTTAATTAGTTAGGAAGTTCCTACTTCCCACTAAGACTAAGATCCGGTAAGAATATGTCTGAGTCTGGATCGTCTGGTAGACAGAAAAACCAGACTTCAGTGAGAAGAAGCTATGAATCCGAGGTCATTGGCGGAAGATTTTTCTTGGAGACCGTGTAGATCATATGCCTCGTCCTGGCGTTCCAGGCAGAACTGGCATGCCGAGACACAGGGATTATATGGGAATATTATGTTTCTATTTTCTTGAGGGCTCTTAAGCAAACATCAGCTGCTCGAACTCAACCATTTGTTCGACCCTCACCGGGGACACACCCAAGGCCCGCACGCCGACGGGCACAAGTTGACAAAGGTGCACCGGATGGCTTTGGCAGCCTCGCGCTTTTGGGGGTTTAGGGTTTAGGGTCTAGGTTCGGTTGAGAGGGCTGAGGGTTAAGGGTTGGGATGTTCCCCCTTATGCTACGAGTAACAGCCCTTAATTGGGATTCCAGTACCCCCCCCCTCCATTATCCGCCGACCCCAGCCGGGGGCGGCGTCAGTGAAGACCCACTGCTTTTTATACTACCTTCCAGACCTCCATGCTGGCCCCCATCCATGGCTATCTCACCACCCCCCCCAACCCCGCTACCCCCCCCCGCCCCGCCCCATGGCCCCATGGCCCCCTGGCCCTATGCCTCCAGACCCGATCAGATGACTTTATCAGATGACTTTAAAGGGACCCATGGCTCCTGGCCCCATAAAGGGCCCCAGTGCATGCCGCCCTGCGCTTGCTCCGCCCTTCCCACCCGCTCCGCCCGCCCCTCATGGCCCCATCCCTTCGGCCCCTATGGCCCCCATGGCCCATGGCTCCTGGCCCCATGGCCAGCAATGGCTCCATGGCCCCATCTTCTCGACCTCAAGGGCCCCAGTGCACCCCCATCCTTGGCCCCATGGCCCCAGCCCCATGCCCCACGGTCCCCTCTGGCCCTATGCCTCTAGACCCGATCAAATGACTTTATCAAATGACTTTAAAGGGCCCCAGTGCATGCCCGCCCGCTCCGCCCGCTCCGCTTGCTCCGCCCTTCCCCCGCTCCATCCGCCCTCCATGGCCCTCGACCCCCATGGCCCCCAACCCATGCCTCCATGGTCCCATGGCTCCTGGCGCCATGGCCCCCAATATCTCCATGCTTCGGCTTTGACGGCCAACCCCCTACTTTGTGGCTCCTGCCCCCAAGGCGCCATGCCCTGGCCCTATGCCTCTAGACCCAATCAAATGACTTTAAAGGGCCCCAGTGCATGCCCGCCCGCTCCGCCCGCTCTGCTTGCTCCGCCCTCCATGGCCCTCGAATTGCATGGCCCCCATGGACCCAGGCCTCCATGGCCCGCATGGACCTATGCCTCCCTGGCCCCATGGCTCCTGGCGCCATGGCCCCCAATGTCTCCATGCTTCGGCTTCCACGGCCAACCCCCTACTCCCAATCAAATGACTTTAAAGGGCCCCAGTGCATGCCCGCCCGCTCCGCCCGCTCTGTTTGCGCCGCCCTCCATTCCATGGCCCTCGAATTGCATGGCCCCCGGACCCATGCCTCCATGGCCCCATGGCCTCGACCCCCATGGCCTGCATGGACCTATGCCGCCTGGCGCCATGGCCCCCAATGTGTCCATGCTTCGACGGCCAACCCCTCCTGGCCCCATGGCCTGCCCTGGCCCTATGCCTCTAGACCCAATCAAATGACAAACGGCCCCAGAGCACGCCCGCCCGCTCCGCCCGCTCCGCTTGCTCCGCCCTTCCCCGCTCCACCCGCCCTCCATGGCCCTCGACCCCCATGGCCCCCATGGACCCATGCCTCCATGGCCTGCTTCGACGGCCAACCCCTACTTTGTGGCTCCTGGCCCCATGGCCCCATGGCCCATGGTCGAAGGCCATGGAGGGCCGGTGGAGTGGCGGAGCAAGCGGAGCGGGCGGAGCGGGCGGGCATGCACTGGCCCTTTAAAGTCATTTGATTGGGTGCAGAGGCATAGGGCCAGGGACCAGGAGCCATGGCCTCCAATGTCTCCATGCTTCGACGGCCAACCCCCTACTTTGTGGGTTCTGGCCCCATGGCCCCATGGTCCCCTGGCCCTATGCCTCTAGACCCAATCAAATGACTTTAAAGGGCCCAGCATGCCCGCCCGCTCCGCTTGCTCCGCCCTTCCTCCGCTCCCCGCCCTCCATGGGCCTCGACCGCCATGGCCCCCATGGACCCATGCCTCCATGGCTCCTGGCGCCATGACCCCCAATGTTCCCATGCTTCGACAGCCAACCCCCTACTTTGTGGCTCCTGGCCCCGGCCCCAGGCCCTACAATCAAAAGACTTTAAAGGGCTCCAGTGCATGCCCGCCCGCTCCGCCCGCTCCGCTTGCTCCGCCCTTCCCCCACTCCACCCGCCCTCCATCATGGCCCCCATGGACCCATGCCTCCATGGCCCCATGACTCCTGGCGCCATGGCCCCCAGTGTCTCCATGCTTCAACGGCCAACCCCCTACTTTGTGGCTCCTGGCCCCATGGCCCCTGGCCCTATGCCTCTAGACCCAATCAAATGACGTTAAAGCCCCAGCGCATGCCCCCCCCGCTCCGCCCGCTCCGCTTGCTTTGCCCTTCCGCCGCTCCAGCCGCCCTCCATGGCCCTCGACCCCCATGCCTCCATGGCCCCATGGCTCCTGGCGCCATGGCCCCCAATGTCTCCCTTATGCTTCGACGGCCAACCCCCTACTTTTTGTGGCTCCTGGCCCCATGGCCCCATGGTCCCCTGACCCTATGCCTCTAGACCCAATCAAAAGACTTTAAAGGGCCCCAGTGCACGCCCGCCCGCTCCGCCCGCTCCGCTTGCTCCGCCCTTCCCCCGCTCCACCCATGGCCCCCATGGACCCATGCCCCATGGCTCCTGGCGCCATGGCCCCCAATGTGTCCATGCTTCGACGGCCAACCCCCTACTTTGTGGCTCCTGACCCCATGGCCTCATGGTCCCCTGGCCCTATGCCTCTAGACTCAATCAAATGACTTTAAAGGGCCCCAGTGTATGCCCGCCCGCTCCCGCTCCGCTTGCTCCACCCGCCCCCCTGGCCCTATGCCTCTAGACCCAATCAAATGACTTTAAAGGGCTGCAGTGCATGCCCGCCCGCCCGCTCCGCTTGCTCCGCCCTTCCCCCGCTCCACCCACCCTCCATGGCCCTCGACCCCCATGGCCCCCATGGACCCATGCCTCCATGGCTCCTGGCGCCATGGCCCCCAATGTCTCCATGCTTCGACGGCCAACCCCCTATTTTGTCTAGACCCAATCAAATGACATTAAAGGGCCTCAGTGCATGCCCGCCCGCTCCGCCCGCTCCGCTTGCTCCGCCCTTCCCCCGCTCCACCCGCCCTCCATGGCCCTCGACCCCCATGGCCCCCATGGACCCATGCCTCCATGGCCCTATGGCTCCTGGCGGAATGTCTCCATGCTTCGACGGCCAACCCCCTACTTTGTGGCTCCTGGCCCCATGGCCCCATTTAAAGGGCCCCAGTGCATGCCCGCCCCCCCATGGCCCCCAATGTCTCCATGCTTCGACGGCCAACCCCCTACTTTGTAACTCCTGGCCCCATGGCCCCATGGTCCCCTAGCCCTATGCCTCTAGACCCAATCAAATGACTTTAAAGGGCCCCGGTGCATGCCCGCCCGCTCCGCCCTCCCCGCTCCACCCGCCCTCCATCCTCCATGGCCCCATGGCTCCTGGCGCCATGGCCCCCAATGTCTCCATGCTTCGACGGCCAACCCCCTACTTTGTGGCTCCTGGCCCCATGGCCCCATGGTCCCCTGGCCCTGTGCCTCTAGACCCAATCAAATGACTTTAAAGGGCCCCAGTGCATGCCCGCCCGCTCCGCCCGCTCCGCTTGCTCCGCCCTTCCCCCGCTCCACCCGCCCTCCATGGCCCTCGACCCCCATGGCCCCCATGGACCCATCCCTTCGACCTCCATGGCCCCCATGGACCGATGGCTCCTATGAGCTTCGGGTTTAGGGTTTTCTTGGACGTTTAGGGTTTAGGGTTTCAGGGTGTAAGGGTTGTAAGTTTAGGTTTCGGGGTTCCGGGTTTCGGCATTGAGGTTGTAGGGTTTTGGGTTTAGGGCCTTCAGCGTGCCATCAGCAAGACTCTCTTAGATCTGGGGTCGGCGGCACTGGCGGTAGCCATTAAATAATCATTATAATCCCCATTAAGGACTGTTAGTGTAAGGGGGAACATCCTAAGTTGAGGGGTTCTTCCTGACCGTGGCCTGCTCTGCCAGATGCTTTCTCATGCTCTCGTAGTTTCCTTGTCGTTGCACCAGCTCTTTTCCTTGAAGTTGCTCCCAGAAGCGGGGCACTTTGGCACTCATGCCGCGAACACGCTGCTCACACTACTTCGCACCGTGCAAATCGGTTCCATGAATCCTGGGGCCCTCTCCGACTTTGGTCTTCTTCAGGTCCAGGGCCATACCTTCCGCGCATTGTCGAGTGCGCTTCTGGCGTATGGCCCCTCTGAATCACGCATCAGCGCAGTCTACATGCTTTTCGCTTCATGCGCGTGGGATACTGGCGCAAGCAGATGACGGTTTCAGGGTTTACAAGGCCGCCCGGGCCTGTTACAAGCCCTATGCTTTTGGCCTGCACTCACGTGCGTATGACACTCTTGCATTGCCGAGGCACTTCGCATCTTGCTAGGAAGCTTGCTCATGAATACCTCGCCGGATAACAAGCTCACAAGCTGCGAACCAGCTTCTCACGCCAGGATGTGCCATGCCAACCCCGACCTCCACACCATCATCGTTAAGGTCCTCATTGCCGGCCAAATTCAGGGAGAGATCCTTGGCCGGAGTTCTCAATGCCACGTACCGTGGTGAGAGTGCAGTTACAGCAGCCTACCCGCCACGGACATGTCGCGGCACCCTGCCTCCAGGTCTCTGGGAAGTCCAGCCGCCAGGGCTATGACATCTTCGTTGCGGAGCTCTGTCTCCCTGCACTGAAATCGCCCAAGGGATTCCAAACTAGAGTGGCGATGGCAGCTTCTCCACCAATGGCCCCTAGCCATCTAGAGACTCTAAGGCCACCCGATGCCATCAGCATCGTCAGACATGCCAATAAGCCGCAACAGCGTCCCTGCCTGAGGTCCAGCTTGAGCTCTTGGAGGCTGGATGGCAAACACGCACGGAGCATCTTCAACTTCTCCGAGCAGACTGCGCACAAGGCTTGGCTTCAAGCTGAAAGACAATGACTGAAACAGACGCTCCGCCAAGAACGAGATAAAACATGAAAGCCGGGAAGGCCTCGGGCCGTAGGTGTCTGGGCAGCATAAAGCAGGTACCCCACCTCCAACCCCCTCCCCTCGCGGTTTGCGCGCCACCGCCCTCCCTTATCCATTCCTTATCCCCTCACTCCCCCGTCTTCGCCTTCACCCCCCGTCCCCTCCAAAGAGCTTTCCTGGCCACTGCCGTGGCCACGAGGGCGTTGAACTTGAACCATAATCTGAAAACCCTAAACCCTAAACCCTGAACCCTGAACCCTAAACCCTAAACCCTCTACCCTTGCAGCGGCAGGCCTTGCATGAAGGCCATGTCAAGCTCCAGGGACTTTTGTCGCAGGCCGGTGTGCAGGGCCTCAACCTCTGCATATTTCGAGCTGCACTCAGTCATTGAGTCCACCGATTTGTAGTGGACTGTGCAGTAGTAGTGACTCAATGGACTCAGCAGCGTCCGCTGGCAGTCGTCGCATACCAATCTATTCAATACCGAAATTGGAGGTAAGCGACCTTTGGAAGTTTTTGGAGGTGCATCGCCAGAAGACATTTCTGCCGGCCGAAGAACTACCTTAGTCCCTGGCCAGCTTTCCCTGAACTCGGTGAACGTCGCTGTCGCTGACGTTGCCACCCATGACGCGACCTTAAGGCTGCGCACCCAAGGGGGATATAGCCTGTGCTTTGTCTGCTGAGCTGATGGCGCCAAAAGGCCAAGGCAAACAGCGCCCGTAATCGTGCAGAAACTTGACCGTATGCCTCGTGCCTTGGCATGGCTAAGAATCTCTCATTCCTCCAGTCTCAAACACCCAATACAAATCCAAGATCTGCGCTTTTCCGCAGCCTGCAGCAGCTGCTTTGACATGCTTTCTAAAAATTTGCTTCGTGTTAGTGAGAACTTGCTACGACTATGAATGCTGCTTTCTGCCGATGCCTGTTCATTCAGGTCACGGTGGGCGAAGATGTTCAAAATCTGCCGCTTGTCCTGCTGATTGGTGATCTGAGCGCGCTCCACTGAGACCTTGGGGGCGTCTTGTGTCCAAAAATGGCAACTTGCCATGATTGTACGCGTATCTCACTCTCACACGAACATCCTGGAACATCAGGAACGGCATGGCACAAACAACTCAGGCATGTACGCCTAAGGCCATCTCCATGATCTGCAAGCTGAATTGCTTCTCTCTGTCATTCTTTGCCTGTGCAGCGCAGTGGCAAGCGGAGTCATACAGAGTCCTTAAGAAATCAGCACATGCAGCAGAGCCAGAACTCATCCTTGCACAGGACCCTGCCTTATAGCCGGAGTTTGTTGTTCGCAATTCTGCGTCCTTCTCCTCCGGGGTCAAGAACTGTGTCACCTCAGCTTACTTCAGCAGAACACGAGACACGGCAGACCAGCTGTGCTCTGAATATTAGGGCCATGGCCATCGAGGCCTTTTTCACGGGCGACTTGATCTCCAGCTTGGTCTGGACAAGGTCCAGCTGGGCAGCGGGATGATCCAAGCCTTTGCGCGGTTACGCCCCACCCTCCCCCACTCTCACATTGACATGGGCCTGAGTTAAAACGAATGAGTGTTTGCCGATCTAGCATGCTCCTTATAGCCTAGGCTTAGGGTATCGTGAAGGAGTCAGAAAGAGCCCACAGCTCAAGCCACACCACTTGCCAGTCATGCCGGTCCGCACAACTGTAGCTGAAGACCGAGGGTGTGGCACATGCAGAGCTCGTACATACACCTTGAGACAGTTTCAATAATGGCTCTAAACCCTAAACTTGGGATGTTCCCCCTTATACTAACAGTCTGTTGCAGGGATTATAGTACCCCCCCTGTTATAGTCCCTACTAAGGACTGTTAGTATCAGTGGGAACATCCCAACCCTAAACCCTAAACCCTAAATCCTAAACCCTAAACCCTAAACCCTAAACCCTAAACCCTGTCGCAATGGTTGCTGAGGGAGAGGCCAGAGTCGCGACAAGCACGTGGCGAGCAAGTTGGAATCGGTCTTCGGGTCCTAAGCCGGGTTTAGGGTTTAGGGTTTAGGGTTTAGGGCACAGCAGTACGCCATGGCTTGCATGCTGTCGTGCCGACAGCTCTTGAACACGATCAGTAATCACGAAAGTTCAGAATCTTCATAATGTGTGGATAGTATGAATAATCGTAATCACATGTATATGAAGCGAGAATCTCGACATATGGTCTCAGGCCCCAGCCACCAAAAGAACCACCTGGAATTTCGCCGCACCCATCGCCTGGATCCAGAATGATGGTTTCGGTTTCACTACGAATGGCTTGAGAAACACCCCCCCGCCCCCACCAAAAAAAGAACACTTCCTTTGAGTGTTTTTCTACTTTTTGGGGGTTCTCAAGCAAATAGTAGCTGCTAGCTTAGGGGCAGTCTGCGGCATCTGAACGGGCTGGGTTTGGACATGCACTTCGGGCCTTGTAGAAGCAGGTCGCCTTCAGATCCGGGCAGAAAGCATCCTGTCAGGGCATGAGGAAGAACATGCACAAGGCTCCCGAAGGAGGTTCAGGGTTTAGGGTTTAGGGTTTGCCCCCGTCCTGCAGCGAGTGTGGGCGGTTGGCACAACACGCCAGCCAGTATGGCGTGCTCTGATCCAGGTTTCTGCTCTGCATGTGCACCTTGATGCCCTCCAGGCAGTTGAGGACCTCGGAACACGCCGTAACGTATCTGTGGCCTCCTCAGAATCTGTCGTGTCTCTCCTCTTCATATCTCTCTTAGTGTCAGGCAAGATCTCCCCAGTAGTGCACAAGGTAGAATGCAGGAGGCTGCAACGCAAGACAGTGGCATTCGCTTCCACTCCTTTGAGCATCTTTGAGACTTGTTCACCGGAGCCTGCTCCTGGTTGGTCAGAAGCTCCACGAGGGAGCAGTCCTTTTCGGCACATGCCGGACCTAGGGTTCGAGGTGCCTCCTTCTTTTGATGTCTGCGCCCTCGGCTCGAATGCCTTTGCGAACGCACTGGACAAAGGACTCCCAAGGACGGCACGCACGAGCCACTCGTGCAGGTGACACCTCAGGAGCTTCATGGCTCTGGGACGGAACATGACGGAAAGCGAAACATGACCACCACGGACCACTACACTCCACAGCTGCCACAGCCACCATAGCCGCTTGGGCTGAAGCCAATTCATGTGGTCGATGTGGACCTTGCGACCTCGAAGTTCACAACTTGACACAGAAGCAGCTGATGCCCAGGAACAGCCTCTAAGCTCGGCTCCCGCATTGCGTGACATGTATGATGGCTGCGTGTCTCGCCAGCGATGACAGTGATCCTGTGTCAGCAAAGATGTGGAAAGTCATACTTGGCATGCAGCATCATGCAGCAGTGATGTGCTCACGTACCGTTACTTTTGGCAGTTCGCAGCATGACCACTGTACAGTCGGCATTGCACCTGCCACATTCTGCCCCTGTAGTCAAGCTATCTCACAACTACATCATGGGCAAGATTCGGAAATACTCAAAGTTTGTAGATGCACAAGGCTTCGAAAAGGAAGCGGAGTGCTCATTAAACTGAATTCAGCTGCGTTCCGCTTGGGTGGTCAGAGTCTCCCAGCCCCCACTTCGCCATCCAGCCCTCGATGCTCAAGCTGGCATGCTCTCGCGTGTTCTCACGGGCGTTGTCGTAGTAGCGCGTGTCTGCGCCGCCGGAGCGGAGATGAGCCAAAGTTAGCTCAGCGATCCACTGGCGGAGGGAGTCATCGGGATTTGGGTCCGACATCATTGCACGGATGGACATGAGGCACTTGTGGATGGAAAGCGAGGGGCTCCACTGGTCCTTCAGAATGTCCAGGCCTTGAAAAAGCACAGAGTCTGCGAATCAGAAAGACCTCAAGCCTCTTTACAAGCCAAACTCAGCATAATGGATGCATGGGTGTTGCATAATCTGTCAAGGGACAAATATTTCCGTTGGCATTCACATTGCAGTGGTAGATTGGCGTCTGGAAGTCGATCTTGGGCGGCTTAAACGGATAGTCGTCCGGGATGACAACATCCAGCGCAAAAACTCCTCCCTCGAACGGGGTCCCAGAAGGTCCTTCCATGAGGGCCCGCCAGAAGTTAAGGCTCTCCTGGGTGGCATGAGACATGCTGCTCTGAAAGGGGATCCTCCTTTCTAGCCCCTTATGTCAAAGGAGAGTACCCCTGTTACTGGCAACGCAAGAAACAAGGCATACTGGCAAAGTGCAATGCAAGGAGCGGTCGGGAAAATATGGATTCCGGCCACCGCCTCCTCTGTAGCCTTTCTCAGCTCGGCCATGACCCTTCGGCATGCGCCGGAGCCCAGGGAGCCCTGCGAGAGGGAGCCGAGGCTCGTGGAGTCCGGTGCCACCACCTTGCTTCTCGCGTGCTCCCGGGCTGCATCCTGAACTCTGGGCACTGCGCTTCCCTGGGTGATGACCCGTTCTGACACGCTCCTGAGATCCACTGGCTCGCGCTGTTTGAAGGGCGGCTTCTCGGTGCCTCCACGCCGTGCCTTGAGGGACACCACTGCTTCTGACTCCAAGAGTTCGAAACCCTCACCCAAATTACTGACCTGGTAGCACTCACCTTCCGCGGCAGAGACGATGCGCCGCAAGTCGGCATCCGGGCGGTCTCCCACGATGATCGCGTCCACAACTGCCCCAATGGAATTGACAGCCTCCAGGGCAGCCTGGGGTGTGTCTCCCGAATTGTTCTGCCCATCTGTAAGTACAAGGACACGAAGATCAACCTTCGAATCTGCCTCAAAGTACCGGCGCAACATCTCCGTCGCTGCGATGATGGACGAGTAGATGGCGGTCTGACCACGCTTCTTCATGTCATCGACAATGGCCTCGAATTTGTCCAGGCTTGGTGTGGCATCCAGCAGGAGCTCGACCATGTTGTCGAATTGAAATAGGCCGAGGTGACATCGCCCGGGACCCATGCTCTCAACTCGATCCCGGAACGCGTAAAACATGGCCTTCACGGCTTCCATGCGCGTGCGCTCAGCGACAGAATCCCGGCACTCCCCCTTCACGACGTTGAGAGTGATCTCCTTGAAGGGAGTTCCCATCGACCCAGACCGGTCGATGCAAATTGCGATGACTTCTTGGACTTTCTGCTCTGGCTCCTTCTCTGCTGCTTCCGGGCTGCATGCCTCCAGACTGGCCTTACAGCAGGCATCCGCTCCTCTCTTGTCCGATCAGCTCTCACTTTGCCCTATTGCATCAATGGCAGTCTGGTGCAAACACTTGTGGCAGCAGATCTGACTTGGCAACTGACTCGTTCTTTCTGTGGTCGACTTCGGGGTGGAGCCCTTACCCACCGGCTTGAGCAGAAACCCTCAAGCCTCTATGTTCCTACGAAACATCTTCAAACCTAGCCGACCCGACAACCAGGTGTCACCACAAGACAACGGAAAGAAGCAGTCTCCCTCTCTCTGTCTCTTTAGGTGCTCGGGGTTTCTCTGACAAGTAGCCTGGGACTCCGCAGGAACCGTTCCACCTGTGCCGCAGAGTTCCTGCAGCGCATTCCGGAACTTCTGCGCGGTCACCAGCTTCATTCCGACTGAGGTGATGATCTCCTCCACCATGGCAGCCTGAGAGATCAGAGTTTAGGATGCGAAGTTATTCAGGTGTAACTCCTGTGTGCTGGTTCGGCAACATGGCATGACAACATGCTCAACGCGTCTTCGGTGGCCCAGCAGCATCTAGCAGCTTGAAATCATCCAAGCTTTCTGCATCCGTGAGCTCTACGATCTTCTCGGCGTACTTGTCAAGACCTCTGGCATTGAGCCACCCCGACACAGACTGATCTTCAGAGGCCTCGGGGGCCGAGTTCACAACCTCCCACTCTGCCATGGGCGCTACGGCTCGGATGATGAGCGAATTGAAGGGAAGGGGCTGCGCAGCGTAGGTACTCTCGAGCCCGAGCAATGAATGATGCCCGTCGCTGAGAGCTGAGTACCGGCAGCGTTTCACGACTTTCACTTGACTTGGATGCATCCGGTCGGTGCCTTGCTGAAATCCACCACTCTCTGCAATTGCTGCAGAGTGATGGCTCGATCCTCCGAGGTCAGTTGAGCTGAAAAAATGGACTGGACATGCTCCTTTGAAGGCCGCATCTTTGCTCCTCTGCATGGTCAATGTAGCCCTGGAACATGAACTCCTTCAAAGGCACTTCATGGCACTTAGAAAAAGCCTTCTGTGGACTCCTGCGGACACTTGCGGCACATCTCCTGCTTGAGCTGCTCTAGGTGCTTCTCATCCGAGGTGCTGGTGAACGGCAGCTTGGCAAGCCGCTCCGCCTGTCCCCAACGTCGCGAATTGCCGCAGGTCGCACGTGTGGCATGCAAGGTGCTGACCAGGCCTCCCGTCTCTCCTCCTCCTCCTCTTTGATTTTCTCCTCCATTCGGATGGCCCTGTGGAGCTCGGTGCTGCATGGCAATCCTATAATTCAAGGCTACAGCATGACACGACGTGTAGCCCGATTCTGGCCTGTAGTCTGTGAAGAAGACGACCGTCACCGTCCTAGGGGGTCTAGCAAGGGGTCTCAGGTCCCAGGCGAGAGAGCATGCAACATGCAAAATCGCGCAAGCCTCCATTGCCACATTGCATCCTGGAGCTTTTGCCACACCTCAGGTGGCGAAAATACGGAGCCTCTTCAGACTGCTTTTCGGATGCTGTCCCCACCTCGGTCCCGGTGTTCATAAGCATGCCGTCCACCATGTAGATCCGCCAGCCGATCTGGACCTCAGGGCTGCTTCCACTACTCGGAAGACCCATCTCTGATGACAAGGGTCTCGCGACAAAAGAGTCTCCACGGATGGATGAAAAGAAAGAGAGCTCCTGAACTTCTGAAGCCCCCCAACATGGGGTTTACGACAATAACGGACCCCTACTATAGACCCCAACTAGTAGGATTCCCTTCTAAACTCCTTCGAACAAGGACCCCGAAATAAAAATGTACCCTACCTCATATTCGGAACCCCCCCCCCTCCCCCACAGGCCGAGCCCCCGACCCCGAGATCCTTGGCCTGGCCCTTGACGCCGGTTACGATCAGATTCTGCCACTGGAGGCCGTGACCTTCCGGATCCGCGGGTGTGAGGCTCGGTGTGAAGTACAAGTGCACCAGTCTGTCCACTCAGTGTACACTCAGCATACATCTGAGGGTTTCCGACATTCGGGGTACGTTGCTGTGGTCCCTATTAGAAGGGAATTCGACTATGAGGGGGTTGATATTAGGGCTCCCCTATTTTCGTAAACCCCCATGTCGAAGATTGTAGCCCTGTGTAGGCGCCGGACCTCCCTTCTCGAATCTGAACTCAAGTTTCAGCAGTGTCTGGGGCTTAAGCCCGGCACCTCTGTGACTTCTGACGAGTACGCGTGACGTTTACTTGGGCAGTATAATGCAATATACTAGAATATGCCAGATGACACTATACAATACGATAATAAACGATAATATACTATGATATACCATGATATACTATAACTTGCGGAGAAAGTCAAGTACTTGCTCTCCAGCTGCCAAACACATCGCTGCTCGCCGTGGAAGAAGCCACTGCAGTTGTGGCGCTGAGCTCTTTTCGCGGAGTAACTAGACGACCAGCGGACCTGCGGCATCGAAGGTGGCTCATTGAAACAAGGTGTCACGGATGAGACGTCATGGTGTTTCACACATCGAGAATGTCGTGGAAGCGGCTCGAAGTGTGGCTTTGCAGCGCCAATGAGCTACCAGTACTGCCGGATATGCAAGAATTCAACATCACTCTCTCTCTCTGCTCCTTTTGGAACATTCTCGTTCTTGGGGCTTGCGTATCCTTGGGCTGACAGCCACAAGGCAGCAATTTGCATGCTTGGTAGAGTGCTACTAGAACTTCCGCAACGACCGCTGTTTGGTTTTTCGTTCTCCATGGGGGTGCAAACCCACGACGTTGGTGCGCTGACGGAAGGGGCTAACTCAACCAGGGCGAGATGGAACCTTGGCTTTTGATTACCCCATCCTCTGCGCTGTGTGAAATGAGGAGAAAACTGCTGCAGCTACCGGGCCTGCCTCTGTAGGCAGCCAAACTTCTGATATCGGAGAAACTCAAACTTGGACCCATTCCTCGATGCGAAATCCCCCGAAGACATCCCTTTACCACTAACGCTCTCTCTCAAACTTCCGATGACCCTTCGCGACTATGTGGCCAGCTAGTTCTCTAGATCCAAGTCCCCATATACTTCTCTTGTGGGCAACCTGAAAAAGCGAGGGAGATTCCTCAGAGGAGTGGCTCGCTCCGCCAGGTCGGAATGATAGAAAGCCCCGAACCCCTACGCGGAAAGCCTGCCTTGGTCGCGTCAAAGTCTTCAGGCCATTGAGTGAGGCTGCCTTCAACTCAGTGGTTCCGACCCTTAGATGTCGGCACATGGACGCGCCGGCACAGATACAAGGCTAAGGTTCAAGTCACCAAGCCCCCTGAGCTTCAAGCGCCGGGGTGTTTAACAGAACTCATTTTGACATCCCCTGACCATGACCGAGTCTGGGACAACTTGGGGTGAGAGCCTCCCAGAATCAGAGAGGCCGCGGAACGGGAAGCACGCATGACTCCTTCGGATTCCCAGGAGTGTGCGAAGCAACTATGCCGTGCCTCCACTTTTCTGCAATGGGACCAATGGTGTGCGTGTGTGTGTGTGACATTGTGGACGTCGTTGGGGTTCGACACATGTGGATACATGCTTTCCTGAACAGCATTCCTGTTCGCTGCCTCCTTACCGGAGGGGGCTGCCCCGATGGAGTGGACAAGCAGCGGTGGTCGGATTCAACTTTTGGAGCTTTGAGTTGAGGCGGTATTGACGGCAGTCAGCTACGAGTACTTGTCATGGGACGCAGACTAGTCAACAATCGTCATTCTCTCCCTCACGTGGGTCGCAGTGGAGGTTGAAAGGGGCAGTCTCTGATGGGGCGGAGAAGGAACTTCCCGAGTTCGTCCGCCCGCCAGGGGACCATGAGTGTCTGTCGTTTTGTTTGGGAAGGTGATGTGCCTTTGTTCTGCCTCTCGGAGAACCTTGCAGCAACCTGTGGCAACCTGTAACAACTTGTCTCTTCACACCCACAAACCCTAAACCCTAAACCCTAGACTCCGTCCTCAAAGAGCGCCGCGAACCTCGAATCTTCACCACCTTGGTTGTTCCGTTCGGCTTTCTGCCTGAACATAATATATGACAATGTACTAGAATATAGTATACTATAATAATATTCATGATCTACTACAATATACTATGACATACTAAAATCAACTAAACAAATCTACAATTCATTCAATAATATTCTCTAGTATATTCGAATATCATCTAACTTGAGCGCAGGGCATGGAGAGGAGCTTCGACCCTGGGGCGTCCCTACGAGACCCCCCCTCTGTCTACAGCCCAGCAGCTGCAGCGTGGTGCACTGCTTGCGATTGATTGTGGGCAAGATGGGCCATTCAAGACAAAAACACAGAAACTATAATTATTGTTAGTTAATCCTAGTTGATTTCTTGTGTTGTTTCAAAGGATTTACGGTTTGGGGCACCGAGTTGTCAGCTCACGCCACACAAGGCTGTCCGACTCGTGTCACTGAAAAGTTGACCCTCGTGTCTGGTCCAATGCGCAAAGGCATGGTTTTTGTTCAGACTCAAGTGAGTCACGGATGGTCAAGAGTACATGGAAGCCGATCATGCATGTCGAATCGCATTACTAGCGTTCCATGCGCCATGAGCTGCGATTTTGCCCATCGTCGCCAGCAGCTCATTGAGTCTCGAAATTTTTCTGCATGCTTGAGATGTGTGAGATGCGAACAAACGCTGCCAGAACAGTCAGTTCATTCTAGCCTCGACAGATGATCACGATAGCTGATCCTGTGCACACAGCTTTTGCCAGCTGCCTTGAAACGGCTCTGCTTGAAGATACTCTGAGCTTTGAGTGTCTTTTCCTGATTTTTTCATACTGATTGTTGCAGAAAAGCTGCGGATTTCAGGGCTGGCAAGACTGTGATATCACTTCCACTTAACAGCACAGCTGCACTTTGAGAAGCAGAATGGGGGGCATGGCCTGCCAGAAAACAATTACTCTGGTAGCTCATCTGCGGAGATTCATCGGATCTCGCACCATTGAACCAAGAATTCACAGTAGTTCTATACAAGTATGCTCCAGACCCAGCGACCTTGTTGCAAGATGCAAGCGGACTGATCTATCCGTGCAGTGTAGCCCACCTTGCAACAGGTAGCGATCCACATCATAGCCCTTGGCTCTCACAGATGGGCTTGTTGAATGCTGCAGTTGCAAGCACTTGCAGCACACTCCTGTACACGAGGATTTGGCGGTATTGCCGGATTCACCGGGCGTGGCACACTGGTGCAAAGTCAGGCACGTGGTGCTTGTGCAAATCGACAGCTGAACTGTCAGCGAAGACCACAGCATAGGTGCAGTCTGCGCAGTAGGGGGATTGATTGATTGATTGATTGATTGATTGACTGCCTGTGGGCGCGAACGCCCTTGCGTCTATTGATCTAAAGCAACTGTCTTGTTTGGACAAAGAACCATGATCGAAGTACAGCATTTTGGCCCGCAAAGCCGTGCTGAACTTCCCTCTGATGCCGGTTGCCCAGCTGCCTGACGTCATCTGGCAGCCAGCTCCAATCATGCAGCACAGCCTGCGTCCTCAAAAGATCTCAGGAGAGCCGGTCGCGTATGACCCAGCCTGCGTCAGTGACTGATAGTCACTCCCAAATGCGACAAATTCAGCAACTCACCTGGTTGTTCTGCTCTGGTCCATTCTTTCGAGGAGGCTGTGCGCGGACACGCAGGTTGGGTGGCTCGAGGCCCAGAGCCTGGACAAAAAACAAAGGAACAGGGTTTAGGGTTTAGGGTTTAGGGTTGACAAAGCAGGACAGGAATGGACAGGAGTGAGGAAATCCTAGGATCCCTGTAGGGCTACTCATCCCAGCCTGAATTGTGACCGCCAACTGGCGCCTTTGCTCCATGTCTGTCTCGGAACTGAGCCTCGGCTGCTCTTGAACTCGCCGGTGTTGAAAGTAATCCTCCAGCACATCGCTAGCCGCTAGCATTTTCCACATGGGAGTTTACGGAAAAGAAGGGATCCCAAATACAGAGCCTCAAATAGTAGGATTCCTCTATTATGAGGACCCCAACAAGGGTACCCCTTCGGAAAACCCCCCCCCCCCCCCCCACATCCCCACATGCTTCGGGCAGGATCGGTGGTCCTGATGGCAGGCACTTCCCATCACGTTCGGGTGACCGTGTAAACTAAAAACAACGCAGCTGCACTTGAATTGAAGTCTGCGATGAGGCTGTGCGGCTGCGAGCGGGTGAACGATTCTGCGTGGTGGAGCTGGAAGAACTGGCACGCAAACACCCACGTCATGACCCACGCATTTTCAGCTTTCGTTGAACTATCCCGACGACCTTGAATTAATGCTTTGCTGTCCCAGCTGTCTCGTCTCAGATGTCTCGGGCAACATGGATTTGTCCGTCGGCACTTCTCGCCATCAAATCTCCGGTTCTCCTGTCGTCACTAGGCCAAGCGCCAGCTTGCGACTCTTAATTCCAACCGTTCAGCACTTGTATTCGGATTGCAGAGGTATATGGTGCTCATTGCACAAAATGCACACAGGAAGGACGTCACTCTACAGGGAGGTCGGAGCACAGAAGAGTGGCATCGCACTCCAACAAGCATTTTAATGCTTAGGGCTGTCAAGTCTTACAAAATTGTGATCTGCACGTCTGCTTTTCGCACAGTCTCTGCGGACTCTCCTTCGCAAAAGCATGTAGACAAATTGAACACGGTTTGCCCAGATTCCTCGCCGTCTCTGTGGGCCATGCAGCAATGCGATCCTCGAGGCAAGTATTTGACAAGTTCGCGACTGCAAAGAATGGCTGTCCTCAGATCGCTTCTGCAGGTTCGTCAAGACCTGCAGGCGTGTGTCACCATCTTCTTTGGAACGGCTTCTGGTCACCATCGTGTTTGGAATGACTGGGTGACAAATGGTGACAATTGCTGTGCTGGCCTCGCGCTGGGAAAGAATGCGAGCACGCAGCTCTGCGTAGAAGCCTGGAGCTTAGGACCCAGGTCGGTAAGGAAGCTTTCTGCCAGGGCGTGCATGCCAAGCCCGTAGCCTTCGGCGTTGAAACGGCTCTCGTCCACCCGGGCTGACTGTTCCGCCATCTTTGCAGCTGGTAGTGCTGTACTCGATGATCCGATTGACCCTTGCCTCTTTTGCAAGCTCAACATACCCATAGTAGTATGTTTTATGTATATGTGCCTGAAAGGGTACAAGTAGGCAAACAAAAACGGGTTTATACATCAAAGCACGTGTAGGAATTTCTTCTACAAAAAAGTATGTGCATCCATGAATGTTGACATCCCACATTCTGAACCCGGGCTGGAAGTGGGCAGACGCTGGGGGCTCGCTGGGCTCCACACGTCAGCCCTGGAACCTCCACATTCGGAATCTGATTGCTGGTCGATCTTTTGGCCACGTTCATGAACATGTCAGTGCAAACAGCTTGGCTTTGCAGGCCCAATCTATGCTATGTACCTGTAATCTTGTGGCATTTGCAAAGCACTGTAACACCAAAATACGCTACGAATGTAGTGTGATGACACTGCCTGACTGCATGCGTACATGCCCATGTCGAACAGCACGTTCGACTGAGAAGGGCAGAAACTACGAGTGAAACCGGGGAGTGTCAACTGGGCGCAGCATGCGCTGACGTCTCGTTGTCATCATCATCAAGCAAGCTTCTTGTATTTCTTTCCTAGGCGTCTGCCTACGTGATATGCCGGAGTATGGCCAGTCGACCATGTGGCGAAGTTTATGTGAAGGCTTCGCCTTCCATGTGCTGCCGTCATGGCAAACTGGCTTCGTTCTTCTACATGATGCGCATAGCCACGGCCATTTCTGTGAGTTGTAAACGTGACATCACTTCTCAAAACATAGCACAATTACAGCACACACACACAAGCCAGTACCAAGCCGAAGGGTGGGTCCCTCAGCTATCGTCGTCCTCATCCCATTCACCTTCTGGTTCTGTCTCGCCATCCTCCTGCATGGACCCATCTGGGCCTCTTCTCTCTACTCTACTCCGCTCTCTTTTTTCTTCTAGTAGTTGTGCTATTGTCTCAGGATTCGGGGTCCCATGGTGGCAGGAATGGAGTCCTGCCGTAAGCACCTCCACAGAAAACCCGGCAAAACATCTAGAACAGTCATGAAGCGTAAAGAGGCACCAAGCAAGAAATGCGTCCTCCCCATGCCTCCCCTAGGATCCCATGGATCCCACCCAGCTCTGCGACTACCGATAACGACCAATTGCTTAAGAACCCCCAAAAAGCAATAAATATTCTTCCTTATAACTTATAAGGGTAATATAGGGATCATTATTATGATTATCATCTTTATTTTTTGGGGGTTCTTAAGCAAATGGTAGATAACATGTTGCCGTCTCAGCTCGAGCGCTGCTGAGCGAAAGTGAGTGGAATCGCGGTTCCACAGGCCACATGTGAGATCACCTATCTTGAGCTGCAGAACCTGCAATGCGTGATCCTTCCACAGCCCGTGCGACCTCGCAGTCGTGGCTGCATTCCCAAGCCCACGGGTCAGCAGCGGATTCGGAAATTGACAATGCGCGGATTCGGAAACTGGAAAAGCCTGATTCGGAAACTAGAAAAAACTGAGTCGGGAAACTGAAAGCGCTGATTCGGGAAACCAGGATTCGGAAAATCCGCTTATTCAGCAAAGGAAAACGCGGATTCGGAAACTGAAAGGCGGATTCGGGAAACCAGGATTCGGTAAACCAACTGATTCAGGAAACTGGAGTGCACGGATTCGGAAACCAGCTGATTCAGGAAACTGGGGCGCGCGGATTCGGAAACCAGCTGATTCAGGAAACTGGAGCGCGCGGACATGAATGTTATCACCCCACCCCGCACCCCCCCCCCCCCCCCCCCCCCCCCCCCTGTGCGCGTTTTCGGTTTCCTGAATCGCGTGTTTTCCTGAATCGCCTGGTTTCCTGAATTGCAGTTTCCTGAATCGGTTTCCTCAATCGGTTAGTTTCCTGAATCGCATAGTTTCCTGAATCCTGGTTTCCTGAATCGCGTCCAGTTTCTGAATCGCGCTCGGATCCCCGCACTGTACTCTTACTCAAAAGACACCACGCTGTCCTTCTCGGAGTCTTCATCTCCATCCTCTACGCTGCAAGTCTTGGACAGTTCTGTGCTTAAGGCTTGCGCACAGCTTGGCACCTCATCTTCCTCCATGCTTCCCCCTTCGTCCTCTTCGTCCTGTTCTGGGACGAGTAAGGACAAAGCACAGTGCTTCTGGTCAATTTGGAGCCAAAGCTAACACTCAAAGCTGGGGTGGGCTGGTGGGAAGGCTTGGCAGCCTGCCTCACCCTCTTCCTCGTCCGTCTCCTCGTCGTCCTTCGCAAGCACTGTAGCCAAGGCAAGTAGAAGCGGTCAAAGTGCAAAGCACCTCCTCCTGCGCATTGGGGTTTGCACCTCGAGGCAGCACCGACGTCTAGCACGGATACCGGACCTTGCAAAAGCGCAAGGGCGCACCTTGAGCGAGCGCTTCAAGAATGGTGTCCAACTCTGGTTCCCGTTCCTCAGTATGGGCCTGCCCAAGACCGAGGGACAAGTGGCTGCAAGTTAGAAACTTCAAGTTGATCATGGCTTTGTTTTTGTCACTTGTATATTGAGTCGGGTTCAGGGCTTTGGAGCTTCGGGTTTCGGGTTTAGGTTGGTTGGTTGGTTCAGAGACACCGATGTGTCATCTCTGGGCAGAGAAGGGGAATGACCTGCGTGTTTGGGGTTTGGGGTTTAGGGTTTCGGGTTTAGGGTTTAGTTTAGGGTTTAGGGTTTAGGGTTTAGGGTTTAGGGTTTAGGGATTCTTGAGATTCTTGAGCTCTGAGGTGGCCTCTCGCAGCTCCATGAGAAGTCGGCGAGTTGCACCAGCAGCCTCCAGGCGCTTGAACTCCTCTTCGCCCAGATGCTCCTGCTTTTCGTGTCCTACCTACGGGTTTAGGGTTTAGGGTTTAGGTGTTAGGGTTTAGGGTTTAGGGATCTGACAACATCTGACAACCAATGGCAACCCAGCCGAGGGCTTACTTTGGAGCTGTCCTGCAAAAGGCTGGTCATCTCTGCCTTTGTTGAGGGGACTCAGGCGCAATCTCTGCTCGCGGAGCCACAAAACAGGCAGCCTTCTCGGAGTGGCCACCGCGACAACGCTGTAGAGCAACAAGGACATCGATATCGATCTCCTGACAGAGGAGGTAATGAACGTAATGCAAGTGTTCCCTTTCTCGAGACGGCTAGCCACGGAAGTTGTGCCGTCGACGTGCCTCATCATGAGAAGCGTTTCGCACCAGCGCCTTGCCGTGCACCCACACGCGCAAAGCAAGGGATCGGGCTCAAGCTGCCATGGGAAGCGGTCCTCTGCTGCCGAGACAGCCCCAAGCTGCACCCACATCCAGAGAGGGCCTCAGGCAAAGCGCGCCTGTGCATTGCAACCAGTTCTTTAATCCAGAGTCGTGTATGGAGAGCGCGAGTGCTATTAGAAACGTGCTTGTTGAGGACTTTGCTTGAGAGCGGATTGGGAGGGAAGAGGGAAGAGGGAAGACAACACAAAAGAGGGCTTCTTGTGGCACAAAGAACCTGCGTGGATCCTTCGGGTTGTGCACTGCAAGCAGTGCAAAATGCCACACCTCACTTGTTGCTCCTGGTGCCCACGATGCTTGGACAATGGAGATGTGTGGTAATGCTCTTGTGCTGTTGGCACTCTTGTCAGTGGCTTCTTACGGGATATTTCTGAATCCGCTACACTTCAAGAAGAGCTACCAATGCCAGGCCAGCGCGACTGAAATTGACAGCCGAAACCGTGTCTAAAAACGTCAAAAAATCGTTCTTGAGTAGCACTCTTGCAGCTCGGCTCTTCGAAGCGACACTAGTTGGGCAGGCGTTAGGTAGGACAAAAACGAGAGGGGCTGTAAAGCAGCACCCACGAACTGAGCGTGCAGCAGCGCAGTCTCTTGTCCTGCGGGCACAGCAACTCGACTTCCGCATCTAAGCCTATGTTAGACTTGATGGGACCTTGCCGATCAAAGGTTGCAGCACATCTTCGAGGGCATTTCTCACCTCCAAGCCGCGGGGGGCCAAGGAAACATTCAACGATCAGTTCTCCCTTTGGAAACCCCAGAGCCTGGCCTTGCTGCTGGAGATCGTCTTCAGCTCGTCAAGGCAGTCGGAGGACACTTTGGCGCCATTCTGACCTTGAGTTGGGGAGGACTGCTTGAAAAATACGACATAAGAGTCCCGCAGCTCATTCCTTTGGCCATGATTGAAGTTTGCCGTTCACATGGACCGGCTGAGTACCTAGAGATTACGCTCCCGGATCTGTGGCACTACCTGCCTGCCTTTGCGTTGACCTAGCATTGTTCAGTAGCTCAGTGCACAGGGTTCTTATGAATGAGTCTGGGAGCAACATGGCGCACCACGCTGCTCGTCTACCTGAAGCCGCAGACCTTTTGAAGATCGGTGGCTTCGAAGGAGCGATCACGTTGCGACGTTAAAGGCATTCCCAGTTCCTTGCAGCCCATGGAGGAGCAATATCACCCACCTACGACCAACGGAAATTGCAGCCGCAGCTTGTCAAAGCAGACCCTTTCCCGCAACGGCATGGATGGCAAGCATGCATGTTTCGCGTGGTGGGATAGCCGAGCGGTGACGGGGACCATGACCGCGGACAGTCTTCATACCATCTTGAATCTTGTGACCATACAGAGCTGAAACCCAACTTGGCAAAGTTGGTTCAGTTGGATGGGTGTTCTACGTCGTATGTATGCACTCTGGGATTTTCCGATCGCAACCGCCACCACCAAGCCAACTTCTCTGTTAGTTACGCAGAGCTGCGAGTAATCGTGCGTGTGACAGACCGCAGCATTTGTGGTGACCATCCCCACCTTTCCCCACCATCCTAATCGGTTGGAATGTTCCCCCTTGTACTAACAGTCCTTAATAGGGATTCTAGTACCCGGCCCCCCTATTACAGTCCCTATTCAGGAACTGTTAGTATACGGAGGGGAACATCCCAACTAACTGAGCCTGCGGCAGAGTGCGGCGACACCGGGCACGCAGCGACTCTGCAGGGCAGATAGGAGGGGCGTGTCGCTTCCAATGTCGGCGTTCACCTGCAATGCAAGCAATATAGGCAGGGCAAGGCAAACCTCCTCCTCATGGTTTTTGTTGCTTCCGAAACAACCCCTAAACCCTAAACCCTAAGCCCTAAGCCCTCAACCCTAATAGGATTACACAGAGGAGACGAGGCCTGCGCCTTGGCTTCTACCAAAGCTGCCACTGCACTCTGCATCGTGTCCTCGGCAGACCCGAACATTCCCAGAAATGCCAACGTGCAAGGCCATGCAAGGCCAACAAACAACGGTTTAGGGTTTAGGGTTTAGGGTTTCGGAGGCCATCTTTGTTTTTGTGTTGCTAGACCATCTTTGTTTTTCTGTTGCTAGACCGCAGAAAAGACGGCCGGAGCGCACACGACCCTGCCTGGCACCTCGACCCCGCCACGTGCCACCGGCTATAGTGGTGGGGGTCATAAAACATAAAACTTGGGGGGTGTTCGGCTCGGGCCTGGCCAGTTTGGTGGCTTCCGTCAAGGGTGGTTTCCGCCAGGGCCCAGGGCCGCTTCGTGGGTGCTAATTAAGGGCGGCCCGAAACGACGCCTGCCGAGTCCACCAAGTGGAGTGATGTCGAGAGGAGGAGTTGGCGGTTGGGTTAGTGCAAACACAGGAGGCTTTTCGGAGAGTTAAGAAGAAGCTTAACTTGAGATGGGCGATTTTTCCCTTCACTACTAAGCTTGCGCATGAACTCAACTATTTTGTTGGTGTTCTTTCTTGTTCGTTAGTTCACGAATTTGATACTGAATTTGTGCGTCTCTGCATTCCTTACAACTCAATATACTTAGTGAACAAACGAACAGGAAAACCACCATTGAGAACTTAATGCGTTAGTGGACTCCTGCGGATCGCTCTTAGGGGCTCTTCCAAGCTCCAGATGGCACGTTACTTTCATTCACTCCTTCCTTTGACCCTACTAGGCTTGAAGACAAAAGACTCATGCATCTAGCTCCAGCTCCGGCGTTAATAGTCATGAAGAAGACGAGTGCTATCCAGACCAAGCATTCACACGGTCTCAAGTTGTGATAGGTGCTGCGATTGGAGTGCTATTGCGGGCTGATCATCATCCACGGGCTTTTGTTGCCAACAACGTGACAGGGAGAGAGCGGTTTACTTTTTACTTTTCCTTTCGCGCACCATCAATCTCATGACGCCTTGACTGGCTCGCCGTTCCAGCTCAGTGAAAGATTCTCCCCCCCCCCATAAGATCCTAATTTGAAGGAGTTCTGGCGAGTGTAGCGAACCGTGAGCTTGCGAACACACCGAACTAAATTCAGATGCATGAATTTAGCAACTTTTGCGCTTACGGAACACCACAGTTGATGATTAATAACTTGGAAATGAAGGTGCCATGAATTTAGTTAGCTATGTGAAGCAAGTGAGCTCATCAATCCTTGATTGCCAAGAGACACACAGGCTAGCTCATTGCATTCACTTCGCCCCTGGTGCTCTAATTCCTTTTTCTTTTCCTTTGTTCGCGAACATTTTAGCGCATTTGCTGGGCTCGCGAGAAATATTACAACTCAACGCATGAACGCAAACTCGGGGGCCGTTGTCTCAGCTTCTATCTTTGCATTGGTTACGTTGGACCGCACACGTTCAAAACACCACTCTCGCCTCTGTCCCCGCAGCGTATGGGAAGCGTAGGGATGGGAATGAGCGATACGAAGCGTGTCTTCCACGTTTAGGCGAGTCTCTGCTGCTACATGCAGATTTGTCACCAGCAGCTGCAGGGCGGAGAGGGAGTAGCTGCCCTCGGCACGCAGGAAGCACCCAAAAAAAGGCGAAATCGAGCTGTCGAATTCCGTGCATGAAGCCAGGGAACTTCCTGGAACTCAGGGCCGTCCTCCGCCTCCTCTTCCTGCTCAGGATTTGGGCTCAACTGGTGGAAGGCTACAAGCAAAAGAAAGCCTGTGTCCCCAAAGTGTGTTTAGGGTTTAGGGTTTAGGGTTTAGGGCTTGGGGTTTAGGGTGTGTGCACCAAAAGCCTGTGCGTTTGGATCCGCGTGTAGCTCCAGGCTGTTCTGCACAATGGCCAGGTCGACCTGCTGCTGTTGCAGATGCAGCAAGGGGCAGTCTATTGGCTTACCCCCTGACAGGTTTAGGGTTTAGGGGGGGTTTAGGGTTTAGGGTTTAAAGGTTTTAGGGTTTAGGGTGTAGGGGCCTGCTTTCAGAAGCCCCTCGACTCCGAGCCCGAACTCTGGCGCTTCCTCCAATCTCCACACGACCCCGCCTTTCCAGTTCAACCCAGTTAGAAACAACATCTATATACATCTACATGCCAGTACATCTATTCATTAATCATGACATTGACATATCATGCCAAGCCATAATGCAGCACTGCATATCAATATGTACATATAAAAAGTAAATTATTCTGCATTATACTATACCACATAGACATATACCTGTGTATAGATAGATAGATAGATAAAGTAAAACTATCGAAACTTAACACCTCTTGCTAATTAACTACCTGTCGTTCAGGGTAGCTGGCAAGGTCAATCTCAGGTTAATAATCATTGTTGAACATGAAGCTGACTGCCTTGCACCACTACTGAAGGCTCATGTTGAGCTTGCTGGCGCACGACTAAGAAAGAGTTTGCAGGCTGTTACAGCAATTTTGGAAGCAGGAAATCATCGGAAGAGTTGCATATGACATAATCGGGCCTTTGAATGCATTTGAGGCAACCGAAGACGAATTTCAACTCATCACAAATCATCAAGGCATTAACTCAGGGCTCCTTCAGCCTGCCCCTGCTCTGTGCTGCTTTGCGCCCCTGTCGCGGCCGAGTGACATCACGTTGGTCATCGAAGGCCTCACGGAGCTCCTGGGGCTGCGCGAAGCATCTCTGACAGACACAAGCCTTCGCCTGCATGCTCCAAGGGCAAGGCAGCAAAAACGCATGTGCACACATATCCGACTGGTCAGTCGTTCAGCAGTTTCAGGAGCTAGAAGATGCCAGAATGTTCGCTGCTCCTGAAGAAGCCTGCGGGTCGCCGCTTCTGTCTGCAACCTCGAGAACTCCTGTGAGCAAGGGCAAGGGGTCTCTGCCAAGCTTCCTCGTACCACCTTGCCAAACGGGCCTCTTCGCCACACTTCCGCTGCAGTAGCTCCTGACATCTGGACCCCTTTAGGGTTTAGGGTTTAGGGTGCGACGCTAAGATGCGAACTGCAAAGAGGTGAGAGGGAAGATGGCAAATAAGGCATTCTCTCCAAGCTTCCTGGATGTGCGGCTGGGACTCGCTGACCCGGCAACGCTGCAAGCTGATGACGTCTTCCACAGATACCTCTTGCAGCCCAAAGTTCGAGATGGGCGATGACCCAAAAACACACGAGCATTGCAAGAGTTGTGTCGGTACCTCTCCCTTGCGTATTTATCTTTATTACTATTAGTATTACGCTTCTGATGATGATGATGATGATGATAATGATTACTATTATTATTAAATTATTATATTATTATTATTATTATTATTATTATTATTATTATTGTTAACAAGCCTGTCGGAGCCTGTTCGGTCTGTGGCTGTCTGGGCCCCCTGCCGCGTCGTCACCGGACCGCAGCAGTGCTTCGACGGCTGCCACCGAGCCTGAGGTTGAGGGGGGAACGCTTTGTTTGCGTAGATTCTTCTTCTTTCTTACGATTATTTTTATTATTTACGAGAATTATTACTATTATGATTATCATTCTTACTATTCTTATTGTTATCATTATTGTTGCCCACTACAAAGGCTTAAAGTCTTCTGGAGCCTTAGGCCATCCCCCGAAAGCCCTAAGAAGTTGCCCCTAAAAACCATCCCCTCCAAGACCCCAAGCATCCCTAACCCTGTAACATCCCTGAAGCATCCTCTTGAACGGCTCCTAACCCTAAACTCTAAACCCTAAACCCCCAAACCCCCTAAACCCTTTAAACCGTCACTTTGAGAGAGGGCCCCCCCCTCTCGTTTCTCGGGCCCCCGGCCATGCTCCACCCAGGTCCAGAGAGGAAGAGGAGCGAGGCCGCGGCCGCAACCGCGCAGCACGGGCCGAAGCAACTCCTCGGGTTTTGGGGTTTAGGGTTTAGGGTTTTGGGTTGAGGAACCTGTTTTGAACTCCTCTTGTGCCCTCCATAAGTGCGTCTTTTCTGACTTTTGGAACCAGTTTTTGGCGGGGGAGGCTTCGTTGTTTTCCTGTGTTTCCAAAAAATACCCTCTGATGGATTATATAGGGCCCCATACCTACCCGGGATTATATAGGGCCCTATACATACCCTTCAAGGGACTATTTGTGGGATTCTTGGGTGGGTTGGCACTTTGGTCTGAGTCTGGGCTTCGGCCTCGACGTGGAGCCGGCGCGAGTCTTCGGACAAGCAGCTGACCTGCCACAGCCCGCACCGACTTGGGGTTTAGGGTTTAGGGTTTAGGGTTTAGGGTTTAGGGTTTAGGGTTTAGGGTTTAGGGTTTAGGGTTTAGGGTTTAGGGTTTAGGGTTTAGGGCATGAACTACTTCTTGCAGGCCGAGATGGGGGTTTACGAAAATAAGGATCCTTAAGATAGACCCTCAGATAGTAGGATTCCTTTTTTAATAAGGACCCCGAGAAGGTACCCCTAATTTCGGAAGTCCCCCAGATGACTGACACAACTCGGCCATTGAACTGAGAGGGTCGAACAATTGGCGAATGACCGACATGTGCAGGTGAGCCGGCAGCAAACCCAAAGCGACAGCAACATCATGAGATCGCACTGAAACAAAGTTGCAGTTGAAGAATGCCTTCCCCAGCCAGCCGCAGCAGACTAGTTGGGTATGGACCGAATCAACAGAGGGACCCCAACATTGCGATGTGGCGGCCCCACGAACATGCCAAGGACTGTCCTGATCGATTCGACCCGACACAGCCTGCGACGACCCTGCTCTACGTATCTGTACGCTTCCCAACTGCCTGCTGTGCTGTGGATTGCGCAGTCAGTTTGAAGAGCTCAGCAGGAGAAATCTGGATTTTTATGCAACTGATGCTGAACCCTCTTCCCACTATAACAGACTTCCTGGCAGGCGCCTCGTCCAAGATCTCTGTCGCGATCCGTGGCGCAGGCGGTGCAGAGCCTCTCTGGAGACTCGAGTCCGCACGACCCGGCAGCGCTAGTTGAGCAGTGCTTTGCAGTGGTCACCAATACTGATAATAATAACAATATTCAGAACACCAGTAATAATAATAGTAGTTCTAGAAATAATAGTATTAGTAGTAACAATAGTAATAATAGCAATAGTGGCCTTCGGCGCTTGCCTTGGCCAAGGCCTGCGGAGAGCTTGCAGAGTTCAACGCGTGCGGATGCGCGCGCGTGTTCGCAGAGCGCTTGGACGCCTCTTGCAAAAAGTGGGAAAGTCCTGCCTCGAGGGCCGTCATATTCCGATGGCGCAAGGCGACCCTTATGAAACCAGGGGTCACAGAGGAATCGTTGCCAGGCTTTGCAACCCGCCATTGTGGCAATCATCAGTACAATGTTTCAGATTTTATAAGTTGTATGTAAGAGAAGAAATGCAACACACACACACACGCACACACACATACATATATATATATATATATATATATATATATCTCATTTTCCATACTGTATATACATGTATATATATATATATATCTATATATCTATATATACATCTTCTATCTATCTACCTATAATATTATCAATATTTGCAATGACACTAATAGTATGTACATATTTGCGCCAAGCCATTCGCAAGAGTGGGGTCGCACCATCATCCACCTGTCAAGGAGAACTGGAAAGAAGAGTCAAGGACTTGGACGATCCAAAAGGTGTGAAGAAGAATCTTGGAGATGTTGATGTTTCGACTTACTTGTCTTCGTGCCTCACTCGCTCCTGCATTCGTTTACGACTGAACTCTGATTCTTGGTACCACCTTTTGGGATCTATTTTGGGAGTTCCCCGGTTTTTATTAGCCCATCTCCTCTTGTCTTCCTCCTTGTAGCGCTGTTGGTCCCTAAACCCTAAACCCTAAACCCCTAAAGCCCTAAACCCTAAATCCTAAAACCCCAAACCCTAAACCCTAAACCGTCGAACCCTGGCCGTTCCTAGCCGCTGGCCTCGGTCTCCAGATCTGCGCGGGCCTGCGCACCACCAAATGCTGGCTGGCTCTTAGTAGGGAATGCGGGGATTATGGCCCCTATATAATCCCTTTAAAGGGTATATTTAGGCCCTCATCCCCTCATTCCCACTAAGAACCAGAGGGAATGCTCAACCAGCCCGTCCCTGCCCTGTCTTTGGGGGCATTTCCCAAAATAAGGGTACCCCTTTTACACCCCAAATAGAATAGAACCCCCTTAAAGGGAACCTCGAAACGGGTACCCCTGTTTTCGGAAATTTGGCATCATGCTCTACACGCATGTGGGCAAGGGCCTCAAGCAACGCTCCGATGCCTTTTGCTACGGACTCGCTGCTTGAGCGGTAGCACATGGCCTGAACGAGGGAGAGGGAGAACCTAGTGGGTATTGTCTCACATGCAGGCGAGCCAGCAGTTTAGTTTGCTAACCTGCGAACCAACTCCGTTCCACCTTCAAGAACTCTTCGCCTCCTACCCTAAACCCTAAACCCTAAACCCTATTTTGCTGCTCAGTCAGTCAACATGTGCTCTGCAACCACAGCGTTTCACAATCCATGCGTAAGCCAAGATCCCGGCCATCAAGGCCAGTCCAGTCAATCCCAGAGCTTCATCCTCCGCACTTTCCTGGAGCTGCATGCAAATACACACTTGATGATTACATATATATATATACAGTATAGAATTTGATGTGTATATATATATATACATATCGCCCTATTGCGTGGCAGATGCCTCCTTTTCTCTGGCATTTGGATCTGCGCCGCTCTGCAGGGCCTCTCGAGGAGGGAGTGTGTGTTTTGACTCCATATGGGGCCGGATTCCATGCCTCCTGGATAATGGACACTTCGATATCACGCTCCTGGCATGCAAAAGTACTGTAGACTTTCTTCAGGGTTTAGGGTTTAGGGTGAAGAGAGCTGCCGCGTGCAGGGAGTGTCAGGCGTCATGCGCTGGCAAAGGCCTCGTCAAGAGCCTGCAGCCACTCTCATGCCAGCAGCAGGGACTCGTTGTCATCGATGGCACGCATTCTTATCATGTGCACGCGCCTGACGAACTTCCATCAGCATGCGCCGCGTGGCTGAAAAAGTCTGCATCTTCTGGAACTGCTCCTGCCAACTTTCATCGTGCTTACTGGTTGTGCACCGCAAAACGAAAACTGGCAGGCAGCCATGCAGAGACTTTTGCGGGAGCTTCGAGCAATGTCAGCTGTCTCCGCCATCTATTCGCCTCGCCTGACACAGCTAAGAGCAATAAAGATCGGGAAATGAGGGGGGGGGGGGGGGGCACTGGATCAATAGTGCTGCCAAGCAATCCCATGTAGTGTGCAGGCAAGCTGCGGCATCCGTGCGAGAAGCTTCTTGGCCTCCCCAGGGCACCACATCCAGACTCGGGAGTCCAATGGTTCGCAGCAGGGTTTAGGGTTTAGGGTCTAAGGTTTAGGGGTTAGGGTTTAGGGGGGTCTTATGAATTTAGGATCACTTCCTTTGTAAATGTTGTTTGGGAGGGTGGGGGCTCCTTTTTCAAAAACTTCAGGATTCGACTGCCTATCGAATACGTACCGCAATATGGCGAACTTCTTACGGGACCCTCGTATCCCGAATTGAGACAACAACCCCCAGGAGAACAACAAACCCTAAACCCTAAACCCTAAACCCTAAACCCAAAACCCCAAACCCTAAACCCCAAAGGTCCACGTTAGTGCAAGCGCCTGCAGCTTCAGCAGGCCCAGCTCCGAACAGAGCTCCTCCTCAGAGAGCTCCGCCAGCATTGGGCCGTCTACTGCATTCTCCTGGCACCATGGGGGTTTAGGGTTTAGGGTTTAGGATGGTTTAGGGTGCTTCAAACGGGGGGAAGGGGGGAGGAGGGGAGGGGGAAGGGGCGGAGCAAGGGCGGGCAATTGTTGGGCATTCTAGGGGCCAAACATTAACCCTTCTTGTTGAGTTTGAGCGCTGCTGGACCCAAACATCAATGTCACTGCTTCAATCATCTAAGGCAGCCTCACAAGGAGGGAACGATTGATGCACTCTACTCTACCCTCTGCTTCAGTCCTTGAACTTGTCACCAGTGTGGCCTTAGGGGCAGGCTGTTTCCCCGTTCGCGCACACAACTTGGCTGAACTGAGCATCTTGGCCCAGGCCCAGAAAGTCAAGGAATTGAAGCACCTTGCCGTGTTGTGCGATGCTTTAGGGGTTCATGTCACGTATTCTGCAACATCACAAACAACAGCCTGCTCCGTCGACCACTCTCGCGGCATGCCGGGTGGGCATTCGGCGACCTGCTTCGTTCCAGGAAGGTTGCATATCCTAGTGCAGGAAGTATATTCAGAGAGCTCAAGAGCACCTCTGCTTAGAAGTTTAGGCGAACGAGGTCAGTACACACATGCAGGAGGAGGAATGCCGGATTGCACCTGTTGAGCTTTCTCCTGCTTGACTTCGGGGCTGAAACACGCCTTTGGCACAGACACCTCGAACAAGATGACAGTTCACAGTCGGTGGCAAAGACTCTCAAGCAGCTTGCCTGGGATATGGAAAATGAACCATCGTAGCCTGAACAATGAAGCGATAGGAGGTGGCTGTCAGGCGCACTGCTGCCCTGCCTTTGCCACGAGTCAGCGGGATGGGCCTTGGAATTTTGCAGCATGTAAAAAGACTCAGCACGTGCTTGACGAATCTCACACCTGTGTCGCTTGTTGAACCTATGACTTCCCAAACTTTCCATCCATTATGTCGACGTGACAGCGGCTCGGAGGTTGTCAGTCAGTGTATACGACTCAGCCTGCAGGACAAAGCACTGCTTTCCTGGCAAAGCCTTTGGCGAATGCCCATCCTATGCCTCCCTCCAATCCCTGTGATCTTGCCCTGCTATCATCTTGACTTCATTGCCATTCCAGAATGAGTGTCTGAAGAATCGAATTGGAACTCTGGTGCGAGCCGAGATGCTGCTGTCTCGCATCCGGCTTGCACTCGGGAGCTTTCCAGGTTTCGCATGGGTCATTGGCCTTGACATGGACGTAAATGGGCACAAACTTGACCTATGTCAGGGTGACATGCACGGCTTGCTGCTGAAGCTTCTCCTTGCGACCGAGACTCCGCCTCTGCATCTAGAAAGGCGAGCATTGACTGCAGCGATTTTGGTGGTGCCTCCTCACCTGGGCAAAGACGAAGAAGGCTTGCGTCGTTCATGGCACGCTCTGCGCAAGGGTCTGAGGGCCTTCGTCAAAACGGCGAACGGTGAAAGGAGTGCCTGTGAACGGAGCTGCGCAGAGTATTTTGCTTCACATAATGGCAGAGTGGCCTCCCACAACCATCTCCGTTTCTCGGCCACTTGGAAGTGGCTGTTCCGCTTTAGGAGGTCTTCTGCCACCCTGACACGTCAAATGCTCATCAAGTCAATCACCCTCATTGCACCAATCGGCAATTGCAAACAGCTTGACTCCTTGACAGCATGAACATCTTCCCTCGCACTGGATGCACTGCGAAAACTGCCGCAGAGTTGCCAACTCGCTGATGGCTTTCTTTCGAGCGGCCACTGCGGCCGCCAAGGTTTCTCGAGTGGAGTCACTCGGTCTAAGAGATCGTCCTGGCGCAAGCGTTCGCCACAGGTAGAAAGTGATCACCAACACCGCCAACACCCCCCACCTCCCGAGAGAGGCTTCTTGGCTGTGGCTGCCTGGATGCAAGGAGTCTTGCTTTGTGTGTGCATGTTCCACATCCGGAGCATCAAGTGAGCGATGCTTTGTGCCAGGCCCGAGCGACATCCGGCTTGATGAGCTTTGGCCACCGAAGCCTGCTGGGCGGTATCTTCTGGATGGCCTCATCTGCCCACTGACAAGGTCTGTAACACAACCTCGCAGACGTTGGGGGCAGTGAGCTCCGGGCATTACCCATGACGTTGATGTCGTAGGTGCCTTGGACAGCAAAACGCATAGAGCGCTGCTTCAGCATGACGTGGTGCTCGTGAACTACGTACTTTGCCAACTGCAGCTCTACGGAGCCGAGATGCCATTGCGGTTCCGGTGGAGAACCGTTGCCTCGATCCAGCCATCGTTTGAGTTGTCGTCCTGAGTTCGCGTCTTGCGTGCACGCAAGTCAACATCCAATGTATACGGGCTCAGCAGTGAGTTGGAGTCACGACAGGCTGACAGGCTCAGGGGCTCAGGCACTCAGGCACTCAGGCGACCTTTCAATCTTGCCGAGTTGCGTAGTCGACAACTGCACCAACATGAAAGGCCGGATCTTCGGACTCTGTCGGAACCTCGCCAGGCACTAAGGCGTGAATGCGGTGCGCACTTGCAAGGAGGCTCTTGCCTTGGCAGGCTCACCCGCCTGTGGCATTGCCTTAGTCCAAGCGTTCTCATGATGGATATCATGTATGCCTCTTCTCAGCATACTCTTGAACAACTTGCGGCATCAGCGTCCATCGCTGCACCTTCCCCCATTGCCGGCTGATGATTATGAGTATGGTTGGAACGAACTTTCAACTATGGTGTTGCTGAATGTCTCTGCCCCTTGCTTTGCTTGGATCCCTCTGGTGTCATAGAACGAAGCTGCACGCTGTCCCAATACGGCTAAGGGCCAGATGATGGAAGTAACCAAAGTCTCAGGTGAAGTCTTGAGAAGCCTCCCTCCTCCCACACCCTCCATGAAAGCGAGGCGCTCCACTTAGTGACGTGTGCTTCAGAGTCCTCGGCGGCGCCTGGCCATTGGGCCACCTAATCTTCGTGGCCGGAACCTGGGGCTCAACGTCCAAGTCCTTAGCCGACGACACTGGAAGGATGCCCTCGGTAGTTTCGAAGCTCGGACTTAGTCTACACGGTCGGAATGGCTCCTGCAAAAACTTGGGCTTGTGTTGTTTGTAACTACCATCGTGGTCACAGCGTGACATCCATCCCTTCTTCTCGAAACATTGTCTTCTCGTGGCGATGCCTGATTACAAAAAAGCCAAGTCTGGCGCATGCGCTCTGGAGCAGTGGCAACTGCTTTCTGACTCGTACAACCATTCCAGCCCAAGATGCTTCAGCCATGGTATCTCCACTGTTTATGGATACTAATGATGCAAGGTCAAGGGTCACAGAGTAGCCATCAAGCCAGCAAACTTACGTTGTGAAAGTGTTCGAAGCAGCTGGACATCCCATTCAGACAGTGAGTCGAATATCCCATCTTCGTGATTTCTTTGGAGGCGATGTGGCCGGTTCGGTTGGCAGTATGAGATTAAACCATCCCAATCATGTTTGGGCAACGCTTATTTCTGCTGCGCTCGATCCTGGCAAAAGGCCTTTCGGGCAGCGACAAGCGAATGCCCGTTGGATTCCTGATTTCCTTTCCCCAATCTGACTCTTGTTCTCTCCATCTCTCTCTTCATCGATCCTCAGACATGTCGCTAATTCAGCCACTTCGACGCTCGTGAGGCTTAGACGTAAGTGTCGGTAAACGACGCAGACATAAAAACGACAACCGTGCACGAGCGCGCGTGCCAAGCTGAGGTCGGCTCGAAGATTCCGTGGCGAACGCGTTGAAGAATCTTTGCTGGGACCCATCGGCCTCGGCGGTCTCTGGGCTGAGTCCTCTTGGTCTACGGCCCCTCACGTCACGTGCAGGGACAGATATGGAGAGCTGAGCGGCCATTGGAAAAGCGATCGAACTCAACTATGGCACCGTCAGGATAGTCCAGAATAATTGCTTGAGATGGTTGCCTCACCGCCTTCCTCTCGGCTTCCTTCGCCCTCGAGCTCCCCGTGAGGAAACCAGGTCTGAGAGTGGTAGATTTTCGAGCCTCCGCTGGGCCCTCGCTTTGGGTTTCCGGAGCTGTGGCTGGAGGGGCAGGTGGATGCTGCGCTGGCCTGGCAGGCCCGGCAGCATTCTGCACAGGAGGCTGTGCCGCCTTGTGGTTGCTCATGGACGGGTTCCCGTTCATTCCATTGGAGAGGCTCTTCAAAATGTCCTCCTTTGATCGTATGTACCTTCACGTGCGAAGCGGCAAGCAGCAGGCTGCTTGGTCAGTCGAATGCCCTGCAACTCGCTCTCTATCTCTCTCTCATTAGCGCCAAGCGGCACTTCGTTCCAACGCCACCTCTTGTTCTCCTCCCTCTTCAGCACCTCGAGGATCAGCATGGGAGCAGCGCAAGATTCATGACAATATCGACTATGAGGATGTACTTAGGTCTTGAGACTCCAACCTTCTGACCGTCCTCCAGGATCAGAGCAGCACTCTCCTCTGCAATTTGCCGAGGCAAGGGCCTGAGCAGGCAACAGAAGATTTGACCATGCCCGCCCTAAACCCAAAACCCAAAACCCCAAACCCCTAAACCCTTGGAGCGCACCAGCTTTGTGAGCCAAGATGCTCATCGATCAGCAACAGGCTTGGTGGAGTCCCAGCCTTAAACCCAAGACGATACAATGCCTCTACACAAGTTACAGCCAAGTTGCAACAACACGAAAAAGAAAAGGCTACTGTGTAACAGCACTACCGTGGCCATTTTGCGTTGCCTCAGGCTTCACAACGCCGCGTTTGCTGCAGAATCCCTAGTGACCCTAGTGGCCCACAGCAATGCTGGATTTGCTGTCCCGGCTGGGATTCGAATCATGTCCTAACTGGATTGCTCTGCGCCAGGCGGGATCCGCGCCAAGAGACGTTCGGTTCTGACGACCCGTCGGAGACCCAGTCGGTTTCAGCAGGCCACGGTCCAGCATTCTCCTTGACGCTGTAAACCCAACCTGCCCATGTCAATGTGATGTTCCCTAGTGCTGCTTGCATCTTTTTTTCAAATTCGGCCTGTTGTCTTGTAGATACTGTTCATCTTCCAGAACCTTAGCCACATCGCCAAGGCACCCTAGTCACTGCTGCGGCAAACTCGATCAGCCCAGACAATGGTACTGCTAGTAAGCCAGGCGTCTTGTTGAAGTAAATCACAGCGCCGTTTTCTGCCTTGAACATAGGCTTGCCCTGGTGCAAGCCGCAGTACCGATAGTCCCGGTTGCAGGCATGCACGCCCGCACCAGAAGCCCGCAGCGAAACGAGGCAAACTCGTCTCTCCTTCTTGGGGGCGCTTTCCTGGGCTGCCCAAATCTACCCCCGAGCATGCGCAAATGTGAACTTAGGATCCCAGTTTCGATTGTCGGCTTGCTCGGCATGTCCTGGCTGCACAGACAAAGGGCCCAAGCCCACCGAAGCTCCACACGCTAAAGCTCGATAAGCTCGCGCCTTCGGTCCATCAGATCGCTCCAGCGAAGAGATGTCCTCAGCTTCCGTAAGCAGCCCCAGCATGACTACCCAGATTGGTCGTACTTGTATGCCCCTGGACGTGTTGCGCATCTACAGGGCTATCATTCGGAAGAGGTGCCCTCGAGATTGCCCTGCGCTGCATCCCATCTGTCTCCAGCAGGGCATCCAGGCTGGGAACCTGTGCCACGGCTCCAATGTTTTGCCGTCCCTTCTCCTTTGACTCCTTTCGGGCCTTCTCATCTCGCGTAGCCCCGGTTAAGGCGCGAAGATCGGCAGCCTTCTGTTGCCAGCAAACCTCTGCGGTGCCGATAGAGAGAGCAGAGCTGGCAAACCCCAACCCGTAGTGTCGCTGCCTCTGCAACATCAACGGGCTCAGGCTCGGTAGCATCCAGGGGAATGCGATTCCTTAGTGTTGCGAGTCCGCCACTGCTGTGTCTCATGTCCTGTTCGGACCACTCCGTGCAGCAGCTTGACCGCGAGGCTTTCGGCACCTCGGAAGATTTTGCCAAGCGTCCGGTTGAACAGGCCGGAGCCCGCCATGACATGTGGAAGATTTGAAGTAGCTGTACTAGTTCTTTGGAAGTTCTAGACGAACAGCTCCTCAGTTGAGGTCCCGGATGCCCTTGAGGCGCCGCTGGACTAAGGCTTCTTCCTGTCTACTCGGAACTCAGAGCTACTGTGGCACCTACTGCATTAAGCACAGTTGGAGCTCGAGCTTGGGCTGAACATGCGTGAAATGTGTACTGAGACTTTCGTCAGTCTGACTGATGCTTGAGCCAGTACTGGACCCAGCCCAGCCACTTTTTTTAAACGCTCGTGTTCGGCCAAGGCAGCGACTATGTTGGCTAGTGAACAGAGCTGCAATGCCTCTAATCTTCCCGCCCCAGCTCCTCGCCGACATGTTCTCGGAGATGCTCGGCGATCTGCTTGCGACCTGACATTGGGACATGCGCCAGAATAGCGCTTCTCCTAGATGGGTTGGCATTGGACAGTTTTGTGAGTTCCAAGTCCCAAGCTATCTTCGTCCCCACCTGGGTGGTGTTCCCACTCGCTGCTTGCATTGCTGCACCGGGCGTGCTGCCATGTAATGCCAACGCTGCCGAGCCGCTACTGCGCTGCAAAGCAATGAAGACATCCTCGCCAACCGCCTCCTCGTGCGCCGCGTTGCGAAGCAGAGCCTGTTTCAAGCGGTGATGAAGCCGGATGGCGAGTCGTGTGCTTGCCGTACTCCATTCCGAGGGGCAGCACGCATGGTTGGACATGTCTGGACAGGAGCGACACAAGCCTCCACCGCTGCAGCACTTCCAGCCTACCGTTGCGTACAGAATCAGAAGATTGCAGGCCCCGAAATTCGGCATCTCGCTTGAGCAAGCTCTTACAGAACATTTTGAGCACTTCTCCTCACTACAGCATGCTGAGCTCCTGGCTTGAATCCAAACCCAGAGAGGCAGCCTGGCACTCGGACACCAAAGAACCTTCTTGCAAAGTACCAAATATGTGCCACGATGTCCTATGATTCTGTGATGTGCCTCATGTTGGGATCACCTTGCACTTGGGGCCGCATCAGCCTGGCCATTGGGATTGCGGGAGAAACCCAGAACTTTGGGGGCTTTGGCTTGGCTTTGGCCCGTGCTGTACATACCCTTCGGTAGGCTCTTGCCCTTCTGCACATCGGCGTACTTCTGTACCCGCTTGATCCCGCTTGGTCCCGCTGATGCACAGCGCCTCTCCATCTCGCAGCGCTGGAACTCCAGCGAAACACTCTTGAGTTCCTCAAGTACCTGTTAACATGGCTTTCAGGGTCTCTGAGCTCGCTGGCTTTGCACCCACGGACTCGAAAAAAGCCATCGCTTCAGGCCCTGGAGGCCTCTGGAGTCACCCGCGCTCCCACTTCGCAAAGGGCTGCAACTGCAGCTGTGTTTCGACCTGACTCTGTTGATCGCCGTCTGCCGGACGGCTATTTGAAGCACTGACATTGGCAGTAACCCTAAACCCTAAACCCTAAACCCTAAACCCTAAACCCAGGGTTTTTTTTGACAATTGTTGGGCAGGCGGGCACTGCACTGCCAGGAGCAGTGGAGACTTCTCGCTGGGCCAGTCATTGACCTCAGAGCTCGGCGTGGCACTATTGCCACTAGTACTGTTGTTGCTATTGTTGTTATATTATTACGATTATTGTTATTGTCATTATTCTTGGAATTACTATTATTATTGTTATTATTAATACCATATTATTATTGTTATGATTTTTATTATTTATTATTTATTATCACCATTATGAATATTTTTATTGCAACAGCCATTGCAAAGTGGCCAGTTGATGTTGATGTCGTGGTCCTTCCAATTGAGCCACGCAACATCGGCTCCGGCATTGACCAAAGCCTGTATCAATGTGCGGACCTCAGCCAAACATGTCAAACTCGTCGAAGCGACATGCTGGCGGCATTCGAACACACTGGCAACAGTGTAGATGCGGGTGCATGCCATAGTGCCATGTCAACTTCGAGGATGCGACGGTCTCCTCCGAGACCTCAGACTGCAACACTGCTTTTGTAACATGGGACCATCCTCATTCCATCTCTATAGGTCCTTGGTTAGACTCAGTTAGCTTATCCATCGTTTGGGTCCTTGGTTAGACTCAGTTAGACTCAAGACACCTTGTTGTTCATCGCGACGAGGTTCACTGCCGTTTGGGCTTGCATCTCGTCCTTTCCGCTGCAGCTGCTGGAACTTGCATCACCCTCGGTCACCCTCGTGTCAGCCTTGTATCACCATTATAACTCGTTATCACGAATTATAACCCAACAATGCGGCGCTGCTCCTCAGCACCGGAGTCCTCCGAGAAAGCACCCTCCTGCAGGCGAGCATCCCAGTGATTCATCCCCGTATCCGCATGTATCACCTTGGCACCCCGGGTGTCCTCATCGCTGCTGTCCCCTTCGATCCCTTCCCATTCCCACACCTGCCGACCACAATGGCCAGACATATCAAAAATCAATCATTCAATTTTACAAGAATATTCATCAAAATTACAAGAAATAATGAGGCAGAGAGCAGCAAGCGTGACCGGGCCACACGACCGCAAACACAGGTGATTTTGCGGCAGCCCTCGCTGCGCTGTGTCGGCACCCCGCATCCGGGACACAGCTGCGCCTGGGAGTCATGGGTCTTCCCTCCTGCCGGGAGCCTCAAGCTGACTCAAGCCGGTGCCTGCCGCGCTTTTTCCGAGCGCAGGCGCTCGTTACCTCGTCCGCTATCACTTTGCCAGGCTCTTGGAGGAAAAGCGCGCTGCCCACGGTCCACAACATATGAAACGTCAACGCGTCACACAGTAGGCACAGGGCAGGTGACTCCTCGGTGCCAGGAGGACACCTTGCAGCGGAAGCAGAACTGCCTCAGTGAAGAAAACAAAAATCAGGCAACTTCCAATGTACGAAGCTGCTCACAGTGCGTGCTAGGGCACTCCCCGCAGCAAGGGGTACCTGGGCGCACGCTCAGCAGCTGTGAACAACCAAGGCGCCTAAAAAAAACCTGAGATGGGGGTTTACGAAAATAGGGGACCCCTAAAATAGTAGGATCCCCTTACAATAAGGTACCCCAATAAGGTACCCCTAATGTCGGAGACCCCCAGATCTGCGTGGCCCTCACTCGAACGCAGCGGCACAGCTCGGTGCCCAGCGCTGTCGTGGGAAACGGTTCATCCACGCCAATTGGAGGGCCAATCGTCGCCTCAAAGCTCACAGCACAGTGGTCACAGGCAATGCCTCGCGCAGCTGTTCCAGACCAGGGCCCCTATAAGCCTTTTAACAGACACAGTTCTTGTCCGGTTCCTGGAAATGCAGGATGTCTGGCTGTTCCCAGCCCAATGCTGCAACTTGCAGATTTTCTGGCTGTTGACAGGCTTCCAACGCTGTAAAGTACAGCGTTTTGGCTGTTGGCAGGCTTTCTTCCTTCAAAAGCTGTAAATGGCTAGCTGTTGACAAGCTCCACATGCCAGAAAAATGCTTCAAATTAAGACATCCCCGAAGACCCACTTACAGATCACATAACTGTAGCAGATGGCCAGCTAAGCTTACTTTTCTTAGGATTCCTCGTGCCGCACCTTGCTCCCAACAATCTGTCGCTCTAAACGCGTGGCCCTTCCATGTAATCTGCCCTCATAGATAAACATCTAAGTTGTGGATCGATGCCCATATTTGATGCATACCTTTTGCATCCGAAGCAGAATTTCTCATGTGGGCGAACGTTTCTCCACAACAGCCTGTTGCTTGGATCCCATAATCCTTACTGCTTGCTGGAATTGCCAGAAGAGAGGGCATCCCCCCCCCCCCCCCCTCACCCACCCAACCCCTCGGTGTGTTTTTAGCTCTCATGCGTTTCGGATCAAGAAACCTGGACAAAATCTTGGCTGTGGCATTCGGAGTTTAAGTTCGATGAGGTCGACAGGTAGGTGAGGACACAGCTCCAACTTTGGGTTGCAGTCTTCAGCGCACACCGATATAACTTGGTATAGCCCAGAAGCTTGCCAGAAATGGTGAACAACAGAGGGGAAGCAAAACCCCCTAAACCCTAAACCCTAAACCCTAAACCCTAAACCCTAAACCCTAAACCCTAAACCCTAAACCCTAAACCAACAACAACAAAGAGTCTTGGGCCCGGCACTCCAAGTCCTCGATCCAGTTGGCTTGGCCACTCGGACCGAGCACCTCCAAAATCAATGACTCAGGTTTAGGGTTTAGGGTTTAGGGTTTTAGGGTTTAGGGGTTTAGGGTTTAGTATAAAGTTTTAGGGTTTAGGGCCTTTAGGCAGGGTTTAAGGGGCGTCTCGTGATCCCGATTGGAACCGCAAGACGTGGAGAGACCGTTTGGAACCCGTTACGAGGCATCGTGATTCCTTAACCGTGAACTGCTTAAGCATCACAGGGGTGCTGGCAAGTTTCCGAGTGCGGGCCTTGCTCATGCTGCTAGGCGGGGCTCCACCCTTGCGGTGCCCGCAGGAAAACTCGTCCAGGACCGTCTGCAAGAACTTCTCTGCAGGAACCTGCAATGCTGCAATGCTGAGCAGGTGCTCAGCCTCGCACTCTTTGACAGCAACATTTCGCCTCCGCAAGGAAGAAAGCCTCCCAAGCTGTCCAGAGCCGTTCGCGCGCCTCGCACAAGGCATCTCAAGGCATCTGGCCAGAAGGCCCCACAAGAATCACCAAGGCATCGCCAAGCCGACCCTGAACATACCCAAGCCCACATAATAACAATAGTAAAAATCATGATAGTTACAATACTAGTAACAATAATAAGAATGATAACAATAATAATGACATGATTTCTAAACCTGATTCTCTGGCCTCGGTCCCAAGCATGCCGAAAGGCTTCACGGCTCCAGCATGGCCTTCAACAGGAAACTGCTTGTCGCAGCTGCAGGCCCATATGATAGTAGCTGATCTCAGTTCCGGCATGCCTTCCATGCCAGGCCGCAAGTAGGAGCCTGTTTCGTCACAGGCCGCACAACGATAGGTGAGGAGGGCCTGCCAGCATCAAGGCATAGGACTGAGCGCAGCAAGTCCCCAGGCATGCGGAGACCAGGCTAAGTCGCGAGCTCGCGCATTTTCGTGGTATTTGGCAAAAGTCTCCTCCTGGAGTTCTGGAGTTGATCGAGGGAGACAGGCTGCACACGATTGCAAACGAAATGGCAAACGGATGCAATCCGCACCCCCCCACCTTTACCAAAGGCGCCCAGGCTGATGTCGCCAAGCGCAGGTTGCAAACTGGGCAACGCACCTAAGGACGCTCGGCAGAAGTGCACGCGGCCACCAGAGGCAAGGCGGTGAGATGTTTGGCAAAGCTGGGGACGGCGGGTGCGGCGTATAGCCCACTGTCAATGACGGCCTGACAACGTAGATCGACGTAGATGGACACATGATCGCAGCAATGTGGAGAAGACACGAGAAGACTACTATACGGTGCTCCCACCGGCCTCAGCATGCTGTCGCAGGCAGTCTGCACAAAACGCCTGCAGGATCGCTCCATGGATTGTCAGGACATCTTGCAACTCTCCGCAAGCCCTCAAGGGCCAGCAAAGGCAAGCACACCGAGGCCTTCTCGCCACAAACTTCGCGCCCACAATGCCACAGCTGGCAGGCGTTGAAGGAATCCATGCAGATACAGCACCTTTCACAACTTCACTCTGCAGATCTCTGCAGGATGCACCGCTGCCCGTCTTAACTTTGACAAGGTGCTGGGTGGCTTCGAATGCCGCAGGATCCTGCTTGACGCAGTCAAGCCCTCAGCCACTGTTGCCAGCGCTGCACTCGATGAGCCTCTTCTGAGCGATGCTGAACAAGAAGACCCTGACTGATGTTGGAGCCGATTTTCCTCGTGACCAGAACTCCATCAGGGGGGCTTAGGAACCCAAAAGCTGGAGCAGGTTTTGAAGAGGTGTCGTTGGTGCGAGTAGAACAGCGCTCACGACGTCCTCATTGGAGGTGGCGGCAGTCCAGCTAAGACAGCGGCTTCGTCCTTTTACTGCTCTGCCCACTTTGTTGCGAAATTTGGATCCGTCCACTTGTGGCCCCGCCTGCTGTGTTACCAAACAGCCGCGTGAAAACGCTTCAGCCTGGACCGGCGGGCCGGGCAAGTGCTGTTGTGACAGCTTTTCGGGGGGGCTTTTGTTTTTTCCAAGTCCATATCCAAGGGTGCCGAAAAGGCACGCTACTTCAGGACAGCCACCATTTGAGGCCCCGGCTGGTATAGCTTTTGGCAAGATCATGTCCTGAAAAATGGATTGATGCGGACACGAAGGACAGGAAGCCCGTTCAGGCCCATGCGCGAACGCAACGTAACTCAACACGTGCCATCACATGTTGCTACTTAGTAGGTGAGAAGGATTGTTCAACAACCCTTAGTCAGGAGATGGTTTATTCGCGGATGTTTGTTCTCCTTTCGCGGAACTTCGCGGACATACCTATGATAGGTACCTCCATCTGGAACTATGCTTAATGCCGTGGGGTGTGCGAAGCTTAGTTCAAGGAGGCCCAGGGTTTTGTTGAAGGATGTTGAAGGTCGAGGCTTCATCTGCCAAGTGCCTTTGCCCTCTGCTGGGCTAAACAGTCGTGGGCTCCCCATTTGCAAGCCACTGAGCAAAACGTGGGCGCGAAATACTGCTCCCCACACAGCATCGCTCGAGCAGCACATGCTCGAACTCCCAGGCCTAAAAGGGCCTACAAGGTACGGTTAATGATTCCCGCTTGCTCCTGTGCGCCTGCAGAATGCCGGGGCCTTCTCTTGCCAGGAGTTTGTTACGTCAAAACTGTCGCGGACCCCTGTTGTCCTTTAGTACACCACCAGACTTTCGCGGACGTGCTGAGTGGTACAGGTTGAAGTAGCAGACACCCGTAATCAAAGGCACAGCTGCAGTGTGTCTCGGCCTCTGGAGCAGGCTCCCGGGCATGACCAATTGAGTCCACGCAAGGAGGACACAGCTCTCCTGCCCGAGGAGGGTTTAGGGTTTAGGGTTTAGGGAGGCCTGCCTGCCTTCAACACAGTGGAGCACTGCAGTACAGCACCGGCAAGGTATGGTAAGCCCTGAATCCCCCCGACCTGAGAAAACGTCCGGGGGAGGGCGCCGCCGCCTGCTCTGTGAAGGGATGTTCGACAGGCCACGGAAGATCACGGAAAGGCCCGCTACATGATTGTACTACTACACCACTAAGAAGTTGTGTTTCTACATTTTTACATCTCCCCAAATTGCACTACTAGACTGTGAATATTTTCCCCCCAAAAGTACTCCCCAAAAGTCTGAGCTGGCCGCCAGTTGGTTCTGGAGCTGCTCATGGTCGGAACCATGGACATCAGCTGCCTTGCGAAGCACGCGCTCGAAAGCATATGTAGAAGGTAGGTGTGCCTTGAGGTTTCTCCTTTGGAGGGCTCCGAAAGTGTCATGAAATTCCCAGTACAGCACCGGGTCTGCGGTTTCATGGCCACTGCGACTGTCAGAGCCAAGTCTCTGAAGAGCCGGCTGCGCCTTAGGAGAAAAACTGGGAGGATAAGGTAGGTCTTCCGGTCTTCAGGCATTGGGTTGCTGTAGATGAGGATCCTTTCTTCCTTTTTGGGGAGGGTATGTGGGGTCCTTCTTCAAGCTCTACTGGCCATTTGTGCCATTAGAGGCTCTGTGAAGAATCAAGAAGCTACCTAGAAGGGGGCCCTAGTTTGGAAGAGCCCCTCCCCCCACATGTCTCGCTGACCCTCAGCTTCGGACCACCACGCTTTCCCCATCGGGAAGCAGGCGCGTTAGCAGGGCCAGCGGTCCCTCGCGGCTGTGGTCCAAGTGGGCAGCAGCCTTGTCCGAGAGCGGAGATCATTCCTAGCACGATAGCGGATGTGATAGCGGGATGCCTGTAGCAGCATCACCAGGGCTGCACGGCGAGTTGGCTCCCATGGCTCCGAGGCCTCAGCTCGGTCTGCCGTCCCACAGGGATGTGGGGAAGGCGGGGGGTGCATTAAGAGCGTCTAATTTCCGCGAACTTCTTGAGTGTTGTTGTCGGGAGCAATTTGTCCTCCGGTTGTGTTAGAAAAACGCATGACGCCTGTCACATCCTTGTAAGGGGGCCGCCATGGAGCCCCCTCGTCTATCAAAGCGGCGTCGATGTGTAGGAAGTCATCGGTAGGGGTGTGCGTGCTGGCGACAACCATCTGAAATAAACTAGAGTTGACCAACCCTACTCCCTACCCCTTTGTGCAACTGATCAAGGACTCGTGTGGGGGGACCTGCAATGCAACAAACAAAGCCGAAACAAAACTACCCGACCAAAATGCCCGGGAACCCCCGACGAAACAGTCCCCGACTCCCGTGGAAGCAGCGCTAGGGCCGCAACAACTTGTGCCAGCAGTGAGCGATTATCACGTCCAACGGCGACCACCGCCTGCAACTGACAACTTTAGCATGCTTCAGAAATCAATGAGTCAAGCTCGTGAACGGCTGTGCCTTCCGTAGGACTTGGCTTGGACCCCACAGCTCACGAACCCCCCACATCAAGCGATCCCATTCCTGCGCAACATGTTCCGAGATTGGCAAAGAGCTAAAGCAGCTAAAGTGAGGCGAAACCAATCATTGTCTACTGCGGGTCCTCTTTGTGAAGCAGGATGCTTGTGCAGCCACCACAAGCCTCGGAGAGAAGAGGGATCCGAACAACGACTGCCATACTGAGCCCGTGATAGTTTGCAGCTTGGATTCATCATTTAGCAGGTCGGCATGCCCCTGCAGCAATGTAGGTGTGTATGCCCCCAGGACGCCTGCCAGGTCACTCAGAGCCGGATGAATCTCGAGTGGACTTTTGCTTGGGCCTGTGGACAGTTCCACTCCCGTGAGGAGATCTAACAAAGCCGGCGTGCCACCTGAGAAGGAATAAACCCTAAACCCTAAACCCTAAACCCCAAACACTAAACCCTAAACCCTAAACCCTTCCGCGTTCAGATGAGTTGAGATGGAGTCAACCTCAGCCTACACTCCGAGTTTCCCGGCATCCAGGGGCTGCTGCGAGGTCGGCTGCTTCACCGTCCCCGGCAAGAACGTGAAACCACGCCTGCACTTCTCTCACACTTCCTCCCAAAGTGGTCCCTAAACCCTAAACCCTAAACCCTAAACCCTAAACCCGAAACCCGAAACCCTAAACCCTAACCCTGGCCTCGTTGATGACTGCAAAGGCCGCCTCCGAACCAACTAGAGCTGCCACTCCGTCATGGGGCGCGGTGGGCTCATCACCCATTTTCACATGCGCTCCCGCATCTATGCTTCTAGCACCAGCAACCGCGGCAGGAGAGGGAACCAAGAACGAAGCTTTTTCTCCTGGGCTTTAGGATATGGAAGTGTGGTTCTTTCTCGGTTTCACGGCGACATTCGACACTCTCTCCAACTAACTCTGGCAAAGTGTCAAAGGTTGGCCAAGTAGTTCGTGTTGCCAACATGGTAAGTTTGGTCAGAAACTAAACGAGCCAAGACCTCCAGGTGTGGTCGCGCGCATGTTGCGTACAAGGCATGTCAAGGCATTGGGAGTGCTGGAGCCTGTTGCAACACACCACCGTTAGCTCAAGCTGCCAGTCATCGCTCCAACCTTTTTGTTGCGTCACTGAGTCCACTCTGATGCTGCACATCACATCTTCGGCCTGGCTTCGTCACACAGGCGAGGCGATGCTTCGTTCATGTCATCTGGCGGAAGATGCTTTTGCAGTAAGGCGGGTGCTTCTTCTGTGACCGAACGTACGGGGCGGCCAACTGGTCGCCCGCAAACCTGGAGTCCAACGCTTGACGTGACGTTGAAGATAACAGTGCAGCTTGGAATTTACATTCCTCCGCGAGTCCATACGAGGGTCCATATTGACCGTCATCTTGAGACTTGTAGAGATATGCAATCAAGTTCCTCGGCGCCGCACTCTTTCACGATGGTCTCAACCCAGGACAGGCGCTTTCCCTGCAGCAATACAGATAATAGAGGAGGCGAACCAAGGATCCAAATTGATCCAAAATGTTGGACAAATACCCTGAAGGTCATGCAAACCGGCCTGTCTTCTCTCCTTGCGGTAGTCTTCGATCATCTCATCGGCGCGCTTCAGGGCCTCAAGAACTTGGGCCTGCCATCAGGGGTTGCATTCCCCAGTGCTTTGCAGGGAAGAGCGCTCGCCATCGCTCATGTCACCCGCCTTCCGGTACTCCTTTCGGTACCAGCGCTTCAAGCCGTGAGGTTCTCTATCCTGTGGGGCTGATGTTTTGCATCGACGTCGAACCGGGAAGCAGCAGGAGTCAGCAGCGTTGCCGAGGTCAGAGCCATGTAGTGCAGCTTCCCCTGGTAGTAGTCATTTGCCCACACCCAGGGAAGGCTGTTGAGGTAGTACTGCTTCTCAATATCAGCCTTCAGACGCAAAGAGGGAAAGAGAGGGAGAGAGAGAGCGAGAGGCAGAGAGAGAGAGAGAGAGATAGATACAGAGAGAGCGAGGGAGAGAGAGGGAGAGAGAGAGAGAGACAGACCCGCAGACAGACAGGCAGACACCATGATGTTGGGGAAAGCGGAAGGAAGACCGAGGCGATGGGAGTTGCAGATGGCAACCGCCGCCTTGTATCTGCCAGACACGCGCGGGGGATGCCACTCACCCAGCTCATCTTTGTAGGGCGCAATGTCCTGTGGAACCCGATACCTCCGGGCAAAGCGTATTGAGAACAAGGCCTCCCTAAACCCTAAACCCTAAACCCTCTCATGGACATGTCATGATCCTCTCATCCAGGCACCTTCGCCGACTTCCACGGACGTTGCAAAGGTTGGGCCTTGTGCAGTCGCAACGCAAGCGCCCCCCCATTTCACACGAGGAAGTCACCTAGCGTTTAGGGTTGAGGGTGTAGGGTTTGGGCTCCTATGTCCTGGCGAGAGGTGCATTGGTGTCTTGAGGGTAGGGGTTTCGAGGACACTCATTCATCAAGGCAGGGAAGTACATATAAGATCCGGACGAAGCTACGGATCCCAGATAGGTGACATATAAGACTCGCGCCATGGTTGACACAACTGAATCATACGAGAGCTAATGTACTGGAAGGCAACCCAATATGACAGCTTGCGGCAGTCCTAACTGCTCACCTGCGTTTTGGAGCAAGTACCCATAGATGTCTACAAAGCAAGCGATGCCGCTTGCAGAGCAACTGCAGAGCAACTGCAGAGGCGGCGGATCTTCGAGGTTTGGATGGAAAGGCTGGAAAGGCATTTCTCCAAGCTTTCCTCGATTTTAGGGCTCCGCTTGAGCGATGCTAAGAACTAAGAACATTGCGGCGCATATCGACGTTACCAAAACGTACAGAGCAAGAGCTTTTGCGATGTGCCAAAATACGATTGCCACAGTGGTCCTGAGGGCCAGGCGACCATTCCTTCCAATTCCGAGACTGCCTTAGCTGCATCTGTAGCTGCAGAAGAACACATGTTCCGAGATGCTGAGAGGGCATTTTGACGTAAAACTGCACACCAAGGAGCCAAGTGTTCAGGCGATACTTCATGGCAGGCTTCAACCTGCGAAGAAAGAGAGAGAGAGAGAGAGAGAGAGAGAGCTACAAACATTGCTGAGAAACTTGATAATCTTGATAAACCTGCGGCTTTAGGCAACCCAGGTCAAGTGGGCCTCACGAAGGGATTTTGGACCGGGCGCACACGAATGCCACGCACAAGTCCGTCCTGGCACAGCATCGGCTCACATCCACTCAAGCAGCCCAGCACGAAGAAACGTTGTTGGCATCCAGCGTCCCAATCATACTAGTTACAGTTACTAGATACTGGCAGTTGGAGATGCATTCCACCTAGTTGTTCTTCTTGCTTCCCAGTCCCATGCCATAACAGTTGATGAACGATGCCAAAGGCATACATGTTTCCCTGCCTGGAGCTCTCGGCGTGGAGTTCCCACAGGTTCGGCCTGGCACATGTTCATGCCATGAAACGCCATGAAACCGGTAACCATGGATGCAGTAGGCGGCGCTGGGAAGCCATAAGGGCCGGGCAGCATATCTGGGCCTCACGGCAGCGGTGTCTCAAGGCTGCTTAATCGCGACCATTTTCGGACCCACGGATGGAGGCCGTGTCGTATGTGTCGTGACCAAGTGTGAGCAACCGAGCTTGTGGCTCTATCCGTCTCTCCATGAGGTCGAAGCGTGACTCCCACGCCACATCCCGCACTGCCTGGCTAGTGAGGCAGATTCACGTCCAGCCTCAGGCTGAGTACACCATGTAGAACAAGGCAGGGTAGCACGGTCCAAGGCCGAGAATCCAGTCCGGACAGGTCGCAGAGGGGTGAAGTTGTGTGGGTGACCTTGTCTCATGCAAATCGATTGTCATGAAGTCTCTCTGTCAATTTGACCACTCGCTAGCGGTCTGCGGAACTTGCGGAAAGCTGCGCCTCAAACGAACCCCTCCGACCTGGACAAGAAACTAAGCAGGAGACCAGGATACAATTGCTCTGGGAATCGCGACCTTCAACAGAATGGCGCTTTGTACAGCTGTACAGCTCGTGACCAGCGGCCTAAGCAGTTCACTGCGTCCAGACATTCAATTTACGTTCACGCAGAACAGCAGCTTCGCTTCCTAGGACTTGAACCTAAAAAACCGGCGGGCAACCGGACTGTTTTCACAGCTTGGACTTCGGTCTCACTTCAGCCAAAAGTTCTGCGCGAGTCACGTCGTCCAGACTCAGTTCGTTGATGATCTCCTCTGGATCACACGTGACTGGCTTGGGGGTTTGGATGAGTTTGGGGTTTGGATGGCTTGCATGCTTCAACTGAGGGCCAAGGACAAGGAGGAGGGCAGGGCATGTCAGGGCCGTCAGGACTCGAAAGATCCAAGTGGTGCCTCCGTCTGTTCCCCAAGCTCAGGGGTAGGGCGTCTCGGCCCCGTCTTCGGCGCATTCAGGAAATCAACAGGCGAGGCCGCCATCGTAACCTGAGGACAAACTGGCAGAGAAAATACGGTAATGTGTAAGATGCCCACCGCCCCGAAACATGCTCGTAGACCTCAATGATCCGCAATGCCCCATATATAGCATCTATAGTATCTATAGTATATGTAGTATATATAGTATATATAGTATATATAGTATATATAGTATATATAGTATATATAGTATATATATAGTATATATAGTATATATAGTATATATAGTATATATAGTATATATATAGTATATATATATAGTATATATAATATATAGTATATATAGTATATAATATACTATATATATACTATATATAGTATATATAGTATACATAGTATATATATATATAGTATATATAGTATATATAGTATATATAATATATATAGTATATATAGTATATATAGTAAATATAGTATGTATATATAGTATATATAATAGTATAGTAAATATAGTAAATATAGTAAATATAGTAAATATAGTAAATATAGTAAATATAGTAAATATAGTATATATAGTATATATAGTATATATAGTATATATCGTATATATAGTATATATAGTATATATAGTATATCTAGTATATCTAGTATATCTAGTATATATAGTATATATAGTATATCTAGTATATCTAGTATATAAACCCTAAACCCTAGAACCCTAAAACCCTAAACCCTAAAACCCTAAAACCCTAAACCCTAAAACCAACCCACAACCACACCACGGGGGGGGGGGGGGGGGCGGGAACCCTAACCCTAAACCCTAAAAACCTAAACCCTAAAAAACCCTAAACCCTACACCCTACCCCTACACCCTAAACCCTAACCCCTAAAAACCAACCCACAACCACACCACAGGGGGGCGGGGACCATTGGGGGGGGAGGGGGGGGGGGGCAGGCCGCACCCGCATCATATGTATATATATTGATATATTGATATATTATATATATATATATAATATTATACCTATGATTCAGCCCCGGCGGGCCCCCCCCCTCCCCCCTACCCCCCCCCCCCCCCCCCCTACCCCCCCCCCCCTGTGGTGTGGTTGGGGGTTGTTTAGGGTTTTAGGGTTTTAGGGTTAGGGTTTAGGGTTTAGGGTTTAGGGTTTAGGGTTTAGGGTTTTAGGGTTTTAGGGTTTAGGGTTTAGGGTTTAGGGTTTAGGTTTAGGGTTTTAGGGTTTAGGGTTTAGGGTTTGCCCGCGGATGGGGTACTAAGATGATCCCCCCCCCCCTGTGGTGTGGTTGGGGGTTGGTTTTAGGGTTAGGGTTTAGGTTTAGGGTTCAGGGTTTTAGGGTTTAGGGTTTAAGGTTTAAGACTTAAGGTTTAGGGTTTAGGGTTAGGGTAGGTTTTAGGGTTTAGGGTTTAGGGTTTAGGGGTTTAGGGTTTAGGGTTGAGGGTTTAGGGACCGTAGAGTAGGGGGGGGGGGGGGGATACCATGGGGGGGGGAGGGGGGGGGGGCCCAGGACGCTCGACGCTGAACCATATATATACATAGTATACCAGGCCAAGAGACCTTTGTCCTCCCTGCCGCCTTTGCCTTCGATGAGAGCGGAGTCTCAATGAAGGATCCCGCTGCAAGCGCCTGAGGGTCGGCAGCCACCTGGCCGGTATAGAAACTCATTTAGGGTTTAGGGTTTAGGGTTTAGGGTTTAGGGTTTAGGGTGTGAACCATGAGCATGACATGATATTCGCACCATGTTGGTATGTCATGCAAGCTTTGTGAATTGCTGACAAGTCGCTTCTGCTGCAGTCAAGACGGGAGCCCACCACACCCCTTCGGCGTCGAACAACACGGCCCACTCGTCCCGCGTCTTGGTGGCGAAGACCCGGTCCAACTCTGCCACGAGCCTATACTGCCCTTAGAACCTCAACAAAGACAATATTTCCTCAATATCCTCTTGAGTTTTATATAAACAAAAATATAACAAATTCCCAAGGGGGATAGTGGGAGCTGTCCCTGGTTTGCTCGTCTCGCCTTGGCCGTCGAGAAGCGCTGGTCCTGAAGCCAGCCGGACTGGCCCACGGCGCGGGCAGTGTTTGGCCAATGCCGGTCAGCCTCAAAGCCAGTTAGCCAGAAAGCTTTGCCATCCTTGCAGCGGTACACTGTAGCCAGAGGATTGCCAGTGCCATCGCGGCGCCCCCACTTGATCACGCGGCCGAACGCGAAGTACGAACTCAGCGCCTCACTCGCTTCCACCGGCAGCAAGCGCTCTTGATTTGAAGACTCATTCAGGCACTATCGCGGCACTTAGCTTTAAAACTGCGCGGCGCGCCGCCGCACTTGTTGCTCCCTGAACTGCCTGCAGTCAGGGGGCCCAGGAGTTGCAGTGCACACCCGTGCGCAGCAGGCTGGTACTTAGTGCCATGCCCTTGCCCGTCTTCTCCCTTGCCAAAAGGGCAGCACAGATGCCTCGCAACAGAGCGCCATCAAGGTCGAAACCGCTGATTCGGAAGCCAATGGACGGCTTTGGGAAACCAGGAAAATGTGGTTCGGGAAGCTGGAGGTTGGCACGTTGCAGCCCACATCCACCCAAATCCGAGCCCTCCAAACCAAAAAACACCGAGTCCGTCGAAAAATGCCCTTCAACCCTAAACCCTAAGCCCTGAACCCAAGACCCTAAACCCCCTTGCCTCCCACCGCAGCAAGGCCAGTTGCCATGTCGCCAAACCCCGGGGCCAGCACGGCCGGGTAGCCCTCGGCGTCAGTGTGTGAAGCGGCAGCACCAGACCGGGCCCAGAATCCAGAGACATCCTGAGAGGAGACGTTAAAAAGGGTTTAGGGTAAAGGGTTTAAGATTGATTAGGTTTAGGATGGTTTATGGTTTAGGGTTTAGGGTTCAGGATGGTTTAGGGTTTGGAATCTCGAAAGAATCATTCTCGACTCAATGAAAATTAAGAGAAAGTTCACAGTCTTCTGCCTTTGTGCTGCTCCCTTTTTCTTTGCAAGCAACATAATGCCAAATCCTGGCTCTGCTCTGTTGAGGCAGGTGGCATACACAGGCTGATTGGCTGCAGGGCCATCAAAACCCCATCCAGTCATCGGGCAAATGACAAGCCGGGGGTGTCGAGCCTGCAAGCTCTCTGAATCCAGGCCCAACTTCTGCAGCGACTCGTATCCTTGGCTGAGATAGGCCCTCTGCCCATGCCCTGACAGGCACACGCCCACCTTCCCCGAAAACCCTAAACCCTAAACCCTAAACCCTAAACCCTAAACCCTGAACCCTGAACCCTGAACCCTACACCCTAAACCCTAAACCCAGGCCCCAGAAGCGCTGCAAGTGCACGATAGTTGGAGATGAAGACGTCCGATTTCTCCAGCAGCGCGTGCAGGGCAAGCAGCCCAGCCTCCACAACCACGCGACAGTACAGATTCACATGTTGAACCGTCTGGATCCGTCTGGCATCTGGCTTTTGCAATCCGATGCGGCCTTGGTCTTCAGGTTCAAGATTATGGATCTCTTGCCTGAGCCAACGCATTTGGTGGCACCATAGCATATATAGTATATATATAGTACATATATATATATACTATATATATAGTATATATAGTATGCAGTGCCCTGCAGTGCGATGCAGTGCTATGCAGTGCACTGCCGTGATGTGGCTCTTGGCCGATTAAGGCTCGTGCCGCGGTTGACCGCGTAGAAATGCGCTGAGTGCTGGTACCTCCCGCAGATCGCTCCCAGACCCGTGTTGCTTCGACTTTCGTTCTCCGAAAGCAATCTAGACAATGTTATACTATGCTAGTATCTTAGTATGCAAGGAGCGGATTTCAGTTGAAGCTCGGCTAGCCAAATTGCCCAAAAAGCGATCCCCCCCCCCCCCCCCCACACGTGGTCGCCCCCCCCCGCAAGTCGAAAAAGACAACAGCCTGGCACTGATTCGATGTGGCTGCCGAAAGTGTGTGATTGCCAAAGTGGACGCGCCCAGGCGTGCATTTCTGCCAGGCGATGCGAGATTCGAGTACCACCCAGGCCCTCATACTTAAGAGCTTGATAAGTCCAGCTGTGAACAACATGTTGGCCAAGACGCGGATCCACACTGGACTTTCCAAGCCTAAGGGACAAGAGAGCGCTCTGAGAGGTGCAATGGGACGGGGATTGCGATATGGATTGCAACAACTACACAACAACAAGTAACAGTTCAACAAGTACACAAACACAGGAGAGAATCACTACCAAGGTTTGGACCCGCTGACCATGTGTCGCTGGGTGTCGCCGCCCGGAGGTTCCACCTTGATTACATCGGCGCCGTAGTCCTCAGGCAAACATGCTAAAGCCCGCGCGAGCTAGGTGCGAGTTTGCTGTTGCACTGCCTGAGACTTTTCGCCCAAGAATGAACTGAAGCACCGCTGGTTGCGGATCTCTCCAAGCTGCTAGCTGCAACTGCTCCAGGGCATGTGACATATAATAGAACATGGGGTTTGTTTTCAGCTACTTGTGGGTCCCTGCTTTTGTTGATTGTGCCCCCCTTCCCCTCGCGATATTTCGGGGTACCATGAAATCTGACCCTGCTTTCCAGAACTGTGACCTGGCATAGTGCAGTCAAAGTGCACCCAGTACCTGACCCGCTGATGGTGCCTTTGCTCAGACCGAGCCGTGGAACGGACAAGGCAGCTTTGTCAACACATTTGGCCAAACGTTGCGTCGTTCCCCAAAGCAGGTAGGGCGGTGGAAGCTTGAGCAGACTGCGCAGGATCACTCTGCTGAACGTTGAGCAGCCGTATTACTATCAAGGGATTGACCGAAACCCCAAACCCTAAACCCTAAACTCTAAACCCTAAACGCGAACTCTTTAACGACCCAAGTCAGATCGGTGGCGGCAATGGCGATGGACAGCTCCAGCACGTGAATACCAGACAAAGGCAGAGCGTCGTGGACTGCCATGGTGATGAGAGTTTAGGATTTAGGGTTTAGGAGTACAAGATAGTATGTACTTAGTGTGTACTGTTTTTTGCACTTTGACTTTTAGTTCGAGCTCCGCAGCCTACCGGTCCGGAAAGGCAGAACAATCGCAGCGTGCTGGCTTCAATAATTCAGCTCCGTGCGCTGGTGCAAATCTACAAAAATGTAGTGATCTTGTGGCAGCGTGTTGAGAAAGCATGCCGGAGGCAAAGATCTCAATCGAATGGGCATGACCGAAACTACCCAGATCTTCCCAAACCCCTTAACTAAGGAATATACCCTACTATATACTAAGGATCATTCTTATGACTTCGGGTATACTCCTTAATTCAGGGGTTTTGGAAAATCTTGGTACAGAAGCATGCTGGGCGCGCAGCCCAGCCGATGCAGCCGGGCGATTATATGCCCGGCAGATCACGGCACCCTCTGGAGGAGGAAATTGTGGCAACATCCTTGGAACCCTAAACCCTAAACCCTAAACCCAAAATGCTTCCAACGGATTGCGTCGTGAGGAAAAGATGAGGATTTCACCCCACCCGACATTTTCACTGTCACTTGCAGTCGTGAATGCGCAATGAGCATGCTGCCACATCATCCTGAGTAGGCAGGAGGCTGTGGCAAGTCTCGCAGCTCGTCAGCAGCGTCTTGGCGCTCTATGGCACCTGCGCGGATGCTGCATGCTGCATGGTGCTGTGCCTCAAGATGTAAAGATCCCTTTCTGAGCCTCTTTGCGCTGCTGTCAACATGTTGTTGCTGTTGTCAGGAACCTCAACACCACAGAGGCAGATGTCAAGCGAGACAGTGCGGGACTGTCCATGGGCGTTCTAATTTCAAGGCTGTGGTCGTGACGTAGCTGAAGCGGCGAAGACCAGCAAAGCAGAGCCGCCTCCTTTGACTAAAAGTGCTTGGGATGAGCATGAGTAACATGAGTAGCTAGCTGGCCGCCTGCGTTGCACAGGAAGATGGCTGGTGCCTCCAGGCCGGGAATGAAGACTCACTCTTTGGGGCGCTTTCTGAGCAATTGCCACTAGCCGCTAGCCGCTAACCACTGGCCGCCTCCCAGTTGCCGCAAAGCTCGCGAAGCAACCTCATCACATTTCTTAGAACACTCTGCGAGTCATCCCGTCCCAAGAAGTGGCGCCACATACATGGCTTCTCGTACCAGCAGGCCCATTCTCGATGCGAGCAGCACTGGCAACTTCAAGCGGACATGCTCACTCCAAAGCAACTCTCCCTGGAGGCTGCAGGTTGCCTTCTGAGGTCTTGGCGCAAAGCTGTTGTAGCATGGTCTATGTCTGTAGCCACCTGACATGCCGGGGCCCTCAAGAGAACGCCAAAAAAGGGAATGATTTGGGGGTTTACGAGAATAGGGGACCCTCAAAATAGACCCCCAAGTAGTAGGATTCCCTTAGCACAAGCACCCCAATACGGTTCCCCCCCCCCCCATTTCACAAGGATGGCAAAGAGGCAATCTTATGGCACTTTGCTGGCGCCTTGCAGGCTCTGTCACGTGGGGCATCCAACCATGGCGCAGGCCGGAACTGCCCTGCAGCTGGGGACGAGGGCCTAGCAACCTTGAAGACCTTGGAGTTGGGTGCCCGTAACGGAAATCGGGCAAGGCTCGCGCAACACAGGGGAACACTTGCTTCGCCAACATCGGTGACCTGCTGCCTAAGCCTGAGCTTTTCAGCTGCATCAGGAGCATCTCTTGCGGAGGGGCTGTCAGTGCCGTCGACCCTGCACATGACTTAAAGTCTTACACTCGAAATCTGCGAGCCGAGGCTGCACAACCTGCGACATGCCCGCCGACGCCCCCTCACGGCACTCGGATGTCGTCCCTGACGCTGCGAAGACGGGCCGCCAACTGGGTCCCTTTCGCTCTTAAGACCACTGCTTGGACTCCGCCTTGTGGCGACGATCGCTTCGCATGCATGCGCTGTCAACTGTGTTGCGCCCCCGTGCGCCTTTGACCCGGGCTGGTGACGGCCATGTGATTCATGTGATTGCTTCGGCGCCTTCAAAAGCCTAAAAGCCGTGCAGCTGCTGCTGGCCAGCACATGATGTCCAACGTGACTGCGGCCGATGCCACGGCAGCTTACGAGCCTTTCAGATTCGGAGATGGCGTCTCCAGCACGCTCGCTTGACAAACTTACGTGTTTCTGGGCATCTGTTGCGGACGTTGCTTTGTTAAGCCACCCGCGGGCAGAAAGGCAGGGCAATGCAGGGCATGTAGCCCGGGAGGTTGTAGCAACCCGTCTGAGGAGACGGCGACCAGCCTTCTTCCAACCCCAGGCTGCGAGCGTTCTCCACTGCTGACTCACGGCGACATCATTTGCCAAGTCTGGCAGATCATGCTGAATTTGAATACAGAAGCGAGTCAGGTGAAGTCACACCGTCTGATTTTGGCTGAGGACTTCAAAGACAAATGGCTACCCGTGGACATCCCCAAGCCCCAACACGGATGAATCTACATCTTGGCCCTGGGGTTGGCTGGCCCGGGTGCGGCCTTCTTCCCTGACATCCCCGACCTTGTTTGGGGTGCCTTGCTCAGACACCTGGCGGCTCCTGAGGGTGTACTTGTACGAGTATCCACTACAAGGCATCCCGGCGTCCCCTGATCCTCTCTGCCTTGTCTTGCAGTGTGGCGTGCTCTTGGCTTCCTGCCCCTTGCTTCTGCTTCCGGCGTGGCCCTTGCACATCCTCTGGCCACCATGCTGCTCGGCGTGGCCTTGCCCCTCTTTGCTTGGGTGTGCGGGTTGCTGCGAGGTCATGGCCTTTGCTTTTTCCGTGATGACTCGCGTCCCGCCTCTCTCTGTCTCTGCCCCTCGCTCTCATCTGTCAGAGCATCCCGCACTCCTTTTGCCCTTTCCACGCAAGTCAGGAGCCACGCCATTTGACGGGGCATTTTCAGCGATTTCTACTCGATTCGATCCATGCTTTGGACTTGGGAGTGCAAAGGTATTTGCGTGCACCATCAGACTGCAGCTGCCCACCAAAAACAACTACCACTCGTATCTATCTGGGGTCTTCAAACTGATTGTGGCGCGTTTAAGTCGGTCACACCGCGTCAATGCCATTGTGCCAGCAGATCCGGGTATTCAAACCCACGGCGCAGACGATGCAGCAGCATCAAGCACAATTCAGGCAGCCAGGCTATCACGGCCCGAGGAGTGTGCACTTGCTGTTCTCGTGTCTGGAGCGTGAGACGAGCCATCTTCCAACATCTGGCAATTCTTTTGCCGATTCCAGAAAACGGTGTTCTCCCTTCAACTGTCCTTGCTTTGGGCACAGTGAGCCAGGACTTCCCGTTCTCAAAACTCACCACAAAAGGGACCACTTTTGTTTCAAACAGCTTCTGAGAGACCCAGCTTCGACAAGCTGTCAAACTCCACATCAGCTGCCCAGAGTCGGGCTCAGATTGCGGCTCAGATTGTGACCGCTTCCTGCACTTCTACTACTTCTACTTTCTTCTTCTGACGTGAGCTTATCAGTGCACTCATGTGCGCTCCCCTGAACCGTGTCCTGGACATCGTGTGCATCGAAACTCCTCTCAAGACATGGGAGCTTTCCGCCCTTGAGGATACTTAAGGTCCATTGTATCTCGTCGTATCTAAGAGTATCTAAAGAGTCCAAAAAGGTAAAACACTAAATGTATATAAATGCATATCTGTATATATAGATGTATGCAAGTACGTTGATAATGTAATCACTGTATTCAAACGTATTCAAATGTCAGTGCATTACATGCATTTAATTTACATGTGGGGGGGACTTTAGGACTTGTTTTGGGATGTTTTTGGTCAGGCCTCTGCACCTCGATTGCGGAAGAGCTATCTGCCTGCAGCAGGCTGGTTCGACACATTGCTGCCGCGCGCCGTGTGCGACTTGCATCGTACGCTGTCTGAGTTCTCCGCCGCTTGTCGAGCGACATCGTTGCAGCTCAGCTTCAAGAACCTCTGTGAAAGCCACACCCTAGCAAAGGCGCGGCCTGCCTACACAAAGCACAACAGGTTTGATGTGTGCTCGGCCCTGCGCAAGCTGCTGTACCAGCTTTCCTCCGAAACGGCCTCGCGGCTGCAGTCTTTCGTCGAGCTAGCAGAATTCCAATCCTCAGTCGCAGGTTCCAATGACGCCGAGCTGTGGTGACGCGGGTAGAGCGCACGCAAGGTCACGCAAGTGCGCATCCTGCCGCATCATCGCGTGCTCCAGGCCCAAGGCGTCGCTTCGTCGAGAGGTTTTGATCAGCATGGCCATGGCTGGTGACGAGACCTGGCACAGCAGGTATAAAAAACCTGTCGGAAACCGTTTTTTCCGATCTCCCAAGCAACAATTTAAGCCGAGGCATGGCCTCACTTCCGCAGAGGCTCCGTGGCACCACCTCCGGTCTGCGAAAGTCCAGCGTGAGGTGGATGGCAGACTTCATTGCTGCCTCGGACAATGCCGAAACACATCCACCAAATCGACCTGGACTCTGGTCCACAGCCAACACATGTATCGGGCCGCAGCGCCCTGAATGCAACACATGACAACCAACTGCAACGAGCCCGCCTTACAGCTGCAAAGATCGGATATCTCCACTCCGTTGATCCTGGACCGGAAGCAAACAAGACCACACCCTCTGCTGAAAACTCACAAAAAACTCAAAACACTCCACAACAAGCGCTGCCATGTCATAGCTGCCAGCGTACGGAGCAGACCAAGATCTGATTTACTTCCCGCACCGGGAACCCTTTTTGGGATTGGGGGTTTTTGTCTGGGTGCCAGAATGACTTGTCGGCAGCTCCCGCCACCATACCCAAGCTTCACTTGGCAACAGGCACACGGGCAGTGACAACAAGCGCGCCCTGTTCCCACTGTCAGTGTCAACCACATGATAAGCACAAAAAGCATCTTGCGAAATGTCCGAGGTGCTTGTCGATCGCGTTTGCAAAGCTGCTGACATACTTGCGGGGATTCGAGTCATACTCAGAACCGCATCAACACTTGAAACTCTGTAGCAGCTGATGGACGTTGCATGGCATCTGCCTTCTTGACTTAACTCCCACCACGCTGCCCAAGCTTCACTTGGCAACATGCACATGGTCACCGACAACAAGTGTAACTTGCTGCAAGGCATCCATCGGGTGGGCGGTGGGGCTCTCTTTGCTGCCTGATTTACTTCTTGGCAGCTCCCACCTTCCTGCCCAAGCTTTACTTGGCAACTCGCACACAAGCACAAACCCCCTGTTGCGCAGCGCCCTTCGGTTGGGGCGGGCGGGGGAACTTTGGCAGATCCGACCACCCTACCCAAGCTTTGCAGGCAACAAGTGCGCCGAAGGTTTTGCTCCGCCGGTTGACACGGCAGGCCTTTGCGCTGCGAAGTCTGCCAAACGGTGCTTCAGGGATCCTCCAGCAAAGCCTACAAAACCTCGCCCAAGTTGAACTGCGTTGTTTGCTTCAAGGTTTCGGGCTTACGGAGTCGGCTGCCCTCCTGCGTCCTTTTTCCGTGACCCGCGGCGGAAACTCCGAGGTGCACTCCCTTGGACTGCCGACGTGCGCATCCCGAGGGTTGGGGCCGGCCCGGCTGCCGAGGCTGCGTGCGCAAGCGCTTAAGTTAGGATTCCTTGGTGGATCCCTTGGTGGTTTTCCGAGGTATTCCTTGTCGTCTGCGGCCTTTCTTCTTGAGGTGCGCTCAACTTTCAGCGGCCCCAGCCTGAGCAACTCATCGCCCGGGAAGAGGCTCAGCAACGGAACGGTCTGCAAGACCACCACGGGCCCTCCTCGGCTGACTCAGAGCCACCCCTCGGTTTTGGAGGAAAGCTGCATGACGTGTAACAAGCTTTGCACTAGCTCGGAAGGTTTCTTTCAGCTAAGTCACGAAGGCTGGCTAAATGGTAGTGACTTTCCTGCGCAACAACCACTGCCGGATTTCCAGGTCTGGACAGTTCGGGGCTGAACTTTGCTCGCGGTGGGGCTACAAATGCTGCTTGTATCTTCAAGGATATGCGCGCATGACATGCCAGCATCCCTTGTACCGTGTCACAGACAGCACCATACAGCATCCACATGTGGATCGACGAGATGCGTGGCTTTCTAGAAAGGCCGGTTGAGGGCTTCTTGCCAGCTAGTTCGGTGAAGAAGCTCAAGTGTGAGTTGCACACACACACACACACAGGAAAGGGGGCATGGAGGTTTCAAGCTGGAAGAGGCCCGGCGACGCCGCACTGATGAGCGCAGGATCTTGAGGACACGTGTGAAGGTTCGGGCTGGGGTATTGGGAAAATAGTCTTTGACAGGTCGAGCGCCTGGAAGACTTGTCTCGATAGCAGAAGCTGCCGAGATCTGCCAAGCAGTGCGTCTGCCTTGCCTAATCACAAAACCGTACCCACCACAATTCGGGTATACAGGGCTCGAGTCGGGTGAGGCGAAGCTCAGCCGCTCTTTTGCGGCGTTTGGTGTTGCGGATCTACGAAGTCCCGAACCTCCTCGTCCTCCTCGAGGCGATGCCCGCTGTCGGTGTCCCAGACCTTTGAGACAGCCCGTTGCTGCCGCTGCCGTGCTTGCTCTCAGCCAAGCTCCGACAGTGAGGAGCTAGCTTTCGTGAGTTTATGATCGTTTATGGGCCTCGAGCCTCCAACCAGGAAATGGCGGGGTTGCCCCAACTTGTGTCTGTTTATACAGATATTCGGCATGCCTAGCTCAAGCCCCTCCACATGCCCAATGTGGCAATGCATGTTACGCAGCCTGAGGTGCCCTAGTGTGTACCGCCGGAAGGCCGTCTTCTTGTACCTTGCTTTCATACTTCGAACCTGTACCGGAGCCGGTCAAGATTCTTCCAGCACTCTGTGCTAGCGTACTCTTCCGCTGCGCTTTCTTTGGCCTGCCTCTGCTCGACATCCCCCTAACGGAACTAGGCAGCTAGACCCTCATTGCACACCTCAAACCCCCCTTCATCCTTCAACCCCCTGAGCGCACGGCATCCCGGTCCGAGTAGAAGCTTTCGGTGATGCACAGCCGTTTGCCCCTTGGAGTCGTCAGTAGAAGGTCCTGTTCTCTCAGGCTCTGAGGGTCTCGCGCGCTGCGGACCCTAAACCCTAAACCCTAAACCCTAAACCCTAAACCCTAAACCCTAAACCCTAAACCCTAAACCCTAAACCCTAAACCCTAAACCCCAAACCAACCCCAAACCCTACATCCCTTTCTTGGGCGCTCCTCAGAGGCCACGTTGGAGGGCTCGGAGGGCTCAGGCGGTTGGCTGACCACTCCAAGTGGGAGGCCAAAGGGCTGCCTCTGAGCTCACGCTAGCAGCCCTGTGTGGACTCTTTTCATACTAGGTTGTGGTGTAAGGTCTAGGGTTTAGGGTCTAGGGTCTAGGGTCTAGGGTTTAGGGTTTAGGGTTTAGGGTTTAGTGTGGTGGCTTTGGAGAGCAGATTCGTAGATGCGGTTGAGACAGCTGAGGGGTTGAGGCTTCGGGGCCTAGGGCCCTGCTTGGAGGCTCATGAGTACTTATTCACCAATTATAACTGTACTTGTACCCCACTTACAAGCCCCTTAAGTGCCCTAGTATGGTTATAAGCAGAGTTATAAGTACAGTTACAATACCCTAAACCCTAAACCCTAAACCCTAAACCCTAAACCCTAAACCCCTGATAATTTTCGGAAGAAGTACCCATGAACCTCCAAGTAGGGGGCCGAGGCTTCGAGAGGTCCATGCAAGCCGCGGCACTTCATGGATGTCCGGTGCATCTCAAGTCGAAAGACGGAACCTCATGACTCACTGCTGCTTTGATTATATAAATTACGTATAACATATGATATATTATATATTATATGTGATGAGTTATATATGGTATATTATGCATTCTAATTTATATATTATATGTTACATATTATATATTATAGATAATATTTCATATATTCTAAAATATACTATACTATATATTGTAGATTCTCTATTATATACTATATATGATATTATATATATACATATACATGTTGTTTTTCTGACAGCCATCATAGCTTGAGAATGCCAGTCCAAAATGCCTTCACGCTTCTGACGGGGGTGCCCTTGAGGCACGGACCCCCCACGCTCGCAGCCATGGAGGCACTCAGGACCTCGCGCTGCGTCCAGGACTCAGCACGGCACCTGAAGCCACTTCTACATACTGCACAAGACATCTGCTCAAGCGCTGAAACGCCACGTGTTGACAACAGGCAGAATCAATGAGTTATGATAGCATGATGGCTCTCTGCCTCATGCTGACGTCACTTAAAACTTAAAACCCACAAAGTTGTTCCGTCGGGAGGTCCCCAATCCAACCTCGGTTCCGGAGGGTTGTAGAAATAGTCGCACCACCTTCACCGTGCAGTTCTCGCAAAAAGCAGAGTCGGCAGAGTCCGAAACCACACTCTCACAGCCATCCCGAGCTCCCGGCACCGGCATGGTCTGTGGCACGCAGAAAGTTGGCCCGCAGCACATCTCAAGCAAGTCATCCTGAGCAACAGACCCGCCCAACAAGCCATCCTTCACATTCCTTCAAAATCTCTGGCCTTCAAAATGCTGCCGGCTGGTCATCGAAGCAAAATGCTATGTAGCTGCTGTGCTACATGGCCGCTTATCAGAATTCTAGCATCTTTTCGTTTAAATATAACACCCTCGGTATGCTGGGCCGCTACAAACGGGAACAATCATTTGGAGAACTGACCACGTCTCCTCGTGCACAAGGGTGGGGATCGGTGGCTCCTGCACCAGACACAAGCCAGGACACTCCAAGGCCAAGGGGGAAGACACTGAGCGCTATGCAGCTCCTTGTGGTAGAACTGGATCTCTAGACTGTGTCCGCAGGAGTCGAGAAGCTCAGTGAAATGACGAAAGCCTTGTACAGACACGTCATTGACGCTGAGTACCTCCAACACGCACATAAGCCAGCTTTCAGGAGCTTCAGCAGCACGCAATCGGGCGCACCTCATCCCCTTGGTAGATGCCCAAATGACTTGCATCCACCATCACAACCACATCGCCTCAGAGCAGATTTCAAGGACGTCAGATCTTGGCCCTCAATCCCATCACTCAATCTCGCATCCCCTAAACCCTAAACATCCCTAAACCCTAAACATCCCTAAACCCTAAACATCCCTAGACCCTAGACATCCCTAAACCCTAAACCCTAAACCCTGAACCCTAATCCCTAAACCCTAAACCCTAAACCCTGAACCCTGAACCCTAAACCCCAATCAATCCCGGGCGGCTCTGGGAACCTGGTCCGACGATGAGGTTCAGCTTGTGCTCAGGGCTCGCCCGCCAAAGTTGCACCTTGAACCGTCCGGCAAGACGGCCAACAGGTATCGGAGGCGACACCTCATCGCGAAGCGGGGAAGCTGCTGGGGAAGCTGGGAGGGAGACTGCAACCCTCTGCTTGGAAAGCTGCGTGGCCTTCAGCAAGGGAAAGGTGCCGGAGGCTTGGTCCTGTACAGTGCTTGCGTACGGGGTGATATCATACACTTGATGCCACGCTCCTTCGCTGCCTCTACCCTCTCCGATGCTGGAACCAGTCGAGTGAGCCTGAGCACGTTGCGGCTGCTCTGCGAACAGGGGGGGGGGGGGGGGCAAACAGCTTCTCTCAGTCTACTTGGCAAGCTAGCGGCCTTTCGGCTGCTGGTAGGTAGGGTGGATCCTGGGAATGGTTCTCTTCAGAAGCCCCGTGATGTGATGCAGTTCTTGGACCTGAACGGCGGCCTGCATTGAATCCAGCGCTGCATACGTGGTCCCTCGACCCACCCTACTGTGCTGCGCGAATGTTTTGCAGTCAGGTCTTGCGAGCTTCCGTGTCAAGTGAACAAGGGCAAGGCTATTCTATGGAAGCTGCTCTGACATGATATACTGCTTCCTAGTGTCAGCTCGTGTGCCCACGTGGTTGCATTAGCAAATCTGCCACACTAGGACGATCCAGTGGCACCCTCTGAGCCAACGCCACCATGATCATGATTGTCCGTGGTCGGAGGTATGGCACAAGGCATGATGCATATGCCTCAAGGTGGGCCCTCGAAACCTTTGAAGCGCACACGGGCCTCTGGGTATGTAACCAAGGTGAAACCGGTACCGAGGAGCCGTTGCCGTAGGGCCCTAGGACAGGCTGCAGACCGAGAGCTGTACAGAATAAGGCTGCAGCATTCACATGCAGAGAAAGTTGCGGGGGGCAGATGAGCCACCCGGATGCAAGGAGAAGCCCGGCCGCAGATTGCAAAAAGCCAGGCCAACATGTCTGCATTCGATGTACTACTTCTTCACGCATTACTATGAATGTATTTACTGATGCCTTGATGTGGTTCGCTTCTCCACCGATGAATTCGAGCACCAAGCTGCCATGCCTCCTCATCTGGCTTTCCATGAGACCGGCCTCAAGGATGGCGAGGCCGGTCAACGCTGAAGAAGTACATCGCAGCCCATGACTTTTATCCACCATACTGGCGCATGACCTTTCCGCCCTTTTATATACACTACTTGTACTGCGTCGAATCACAACAGAAAAAGCATTCTATACATATATAAATATAAATATAAATAAATAAATATATATATATATACACATATTTGATTGATTCATGGCTCACCAGCGTTCATGGTTCTCAGGCGGCCACCGTCCGTTTCCGACCAAGGCGCTCTTGAGGGCCTCACGGTGCACGGTAGAAGGTCTTACAGTACGAGTACAATGTGCCAATGTGCACCGCACGAGCATGCGCACGACAGCGAGGCGAGAGGCATTTGTAAGAAAGATGCAGGTCCCCTTGAAAGGAAGCCCAAGAGCGCGATTTGTCAAACCCGAGCTGTGGCACCGCATCGTGTTGTCAAATTGTTTGGGCCGCAATGGAGACCAAAAAAGAGCTCTAATGTCTAACCCCGCAAGTTTGTCCGGAACCCGTGCCTTCGGGTTTGCCCACTCCGAGTCCAGGTACGAGTCATCCTCGTCGTCCTTGTGATGGTACATTCAAAACCCTAAACCCTAAACCCTAAACCCTAAACCCTAAACCCTAAACCCTAAACCGAAGTGCCCCCCCAAGGAGACCGTTGGATCCCGAGTCCTGGAGCTTCTTGTTCTCCTCCTGCTTTCTGTAATAGTGGGCCATCATTGCCTCAATCGGTGGCAAGGCTTAGGTGCCACCAGCAAGGGCGAAAAAGGCTTAGGGTTTAGGGTTTCGGGTTTGGGGTTTGGGGTTTAGGGTTCCCACCTTGTGCGTGTTCTCGTCGATTCGAGGTTCTCGCACCGGTGCTCCCGAGCTTTTCGGAGCAAGCTTTGCGACGATCTTCGTCTTTTCCTTCAACGAAGGTACAGGTCTCAGACACAAGATCCCTAAACCCTAAACCCTAAACCCTAAACCCTAAACCCTAAACCCTAAACCCTAAACCCTAAACCCTAAACCCTAAACCCTAAACCCTAAACCCTAAACTCCACACAGGGGGCCACTGGGATCCCGACGTTCTTGCCGATGTACTGCTCAAGTGTCTGGTCCAGCCTGACAGGCTTCCAGTGCGCCAGGTACAATGAACCCTAAACCTTAAACCTTAAACCGTAAACCCAAAACACAAAATTTCCAATGTCCCAAGACTCCTAAAATCCCCCAAGCAAGACCGAAGCTTCAAGCCTCAGCTCCTTTCCTGCCCACCAGAGGTTGGTGTGTGCAGGCTCCAGCCTGGACGCAGTCTGATGCCCCAAAACCCTTGCAGAGATCTTCCAAACTCTTCCGAGTCCAGCTCAGCTGCGCACACACACTGCAACTCCGACGCTCCGTCAAGCTCCTCCCGGTCTTCGAGCTCTTGGCGCGCAGGATCCTTGAAACCCGGCACAACCAAAAAACAAAAAAAACAGCACGCTCTTCCCACTGCCCGTGGTCTCCACGGTATGTCTAGCACGCATGCTGTATCGAGTGCTACTCCCATATGTGGTCTTAAAGAATCGCACCAAGGATGCGCTTGTCTCCCTCCAAACATTGCACTGTCCCCTTGCTTAAGGCCCCCTCAACAAACACACACGATTTTGCATCTTCACTCCTCGCGAGCTCGATGAGAGCGTGTGTACAGAGCGCCATGTAGGCATGGAACGACATCAATACGCCCAAGGGCGCGCCTTTGGGTTGAGCGTCAGAAGCCACAGGGCTCGTCGTTAGCTTCCTGCTCGTTCAAACGCTGCTCACTAGGCTCACTCAGAACCTGCAGAGCATCTTCCATTCCAGCCCTGTTGGCTGGGAATCCAAATCTCAGCAGAATCGGCGCCAACTCCGCTACCTGTGCCTCGTCGAAAGCGTCGACCTGGTGGAGGTCGTACCCCTTTCTGCTCAGCTCTTGTTGGAACAAGCATCTCGCATCCGAAGAGAAGGCTGCGCGGCGAAGCCTTCTGAATGACTCCGACTCCTCAAGCTTCTCAGCTTCGTCCGAAGCAACCCTCACAGATTTGCTGAAGGCACCACTGCGCTTTTTCGTCGCTTGGCCGTGTGGAAACTCCCTGTTCCCAACGTGCTGCAGAACCCCGGCGAGCAGCGGCAGCAAGTCCTTCTGCTGGGTAAGCTTCATGTCCTGCATCAGGGTAGAGCAGCATCCGGAGAAGTCCTGCGCTGACATCTGCTGTGCAAGATCATGCGCGCTTCTGTGGGCTGCACCCTGAGCTGCAGAGTCGATGAGCGCGTGCTGTGATGGGCCAGTCGAGGAGACCGTTTCAAGCTCACGCCTGTCACCCTCGATCGCTTCGAAAGGGCTGGTGAGCAAGTCGTCTCGTGCCATGTTCTTGGCAACAGGTCCTCTTATCACTACAACAAGCCTTGAGCCAGCGCGAAAGAGTTGGATGATTGCCTTCGACTGTCTACCGTTATTGTGGAGCCCGCCGCTGCGGCGTTTGTTTGTGGTTTTCATGTTACATGAGAGATGAAACAGCACGCGCTGCAGGAACCTGAGCCACAGGCATAAACTGGCAAGCGATGGAAGGCAGGATACGCAATCCTGAAAGCAGACGGCAAGGTGGGCTCTCATCCCCGTGGTGGTGTGGTTCAAGCGACGACCGCTTTTGACCAAAGAGCGGCCAAGGAACATGACCGCACCGCGCATGTTGTCAATCTGTGTTTGGCACACCTCGCACTTTGCTCTCTGACAACAAGGAGGTCGTTTCTGCTTCTGTAGCTACGAAGAAGACAAGTGCATCTCCAAGGCACCTTCTTGTCAACACATTTTCTCTGCTGCACCAGCTCGGAGGCGACTGCAGCCTGAAAGCGCATTCCGCTCAAACAGCTACCCGGAGTTGGCAGGGTGAATCTGAATCTAACAGGCGCTCACAAGGCAGCCCGCATGTGGGGTTTTGGATGGCTGCAGGGATTTAAGATGAAAGGCTGCAGGTTTGGATGATTTCGGCTTTAAACCGAGCCAAATCCCAAGTGTCAGCAGAGACACACACACACACACACACACACACACACACACACACACACACACACACACACACACACCAAGAGAGCCCCATGATTGCAGGACCCGAGTCTCCCGCTGCGGCTTCCTCTGCAGTGCGGGTGAGCACATCGGCCACCTGCGACTTTGCTGACTGCATGACGATTGTGATGATGGAAATTACGGGAAATATGATGAAATATGGAGGGGGGGGAGGTCCCAAAGCTTACCAGCCAGTCACCAGCCACTTTGTGTTCCGTGGCCTCGGGCGGCGGAGGAACTCCAGTGCGAAAGCCAGACTCGTCAGGTCCTGAGGTCGTGGATTTGGAGCACAGGGCTGCTAGCTGGAGGCTGTAGGACAGGAGGCTGTAGGACACTCTAGGATTCGGACTAGTAGGCTGGCCGTAAGCATTCACATCCAGCTCTGTGACCTTGCTGAGGTCCTGAGCCAAGCCGGACCCGAGGAGCTGCGCCGAAAGCTCACAAGGTTCTGTGCCGACATATTGGGGGGCTTACGATACCAAGGGGGTGCCTTCTTGGGATCCTTACTACAAGGGGATCCTACCATGTGGGAATCTATATTGAGACCCCCTATTTTCGGAAACCCCCATGTGGCAAGCTACCTTGCCCACGGGTGAAGGGGCCAAAAGGACGCATTCCCCGCGCCTCGGAGATTCCCCGGGTTTCCTCGGGTCTCAACGGCCCATGCTTCGCCAGTTCCTGGTGGAAATGCCAGTGCAGTGGTGCGGGGCCTAGGGCCTAGGGTTTAGATGGGATAAGGGTTTCTGAAGTTTAAGGGTAGGATCTGTGGCAGCCGGGGTTGGCGCTTCATATGTGGCTCAAAAGGCTTATGTGGTTTTCATGGGTTTTAACGGCCCCAAAAAGTTTCATAGCCCAGCCTTGCAGGCGAAAGAGAGCCGCTGAACTTTGAGCCTCTCGGGGGTCACAGAAATGTGCTGCCATGTTGGCTAACGGTACTGCAGCCGGGCCAATACCGACAGCCGGGCCAATACCGACTCACTGTAAACTGTAGATACGCTTCACCACGCTGCCAGAATCGGATGGGCGTCAGAATTTCTACGCTTATCGTACTCTCTTTGCTGGTAGTCAAATCTCTATGGTCCCATCTGGTCGAAGAATGGGTTCATGTTAGAATCATTGTTGGAGGCACTGCGGCTCAATGATCGGAATCTGCCAAGACGACTATGAATGCAGGGTCGACAAGTTTTTGGGTTTGGGGCTTGGCACTGTGACTGTTCCGACTGTTCCTGCAGAGTTCCCACTGCCAAGAATACGGGGATTCGCAGTTAAGTGGTCGACGACAAGGCAGCCCTCAGACCTTGCTGCTGCTTCCCAGCCTCAGGTTGTGCAATTCGCAGAGTTCCTTCAAAAGATCCCCGACGTTGGCCTGACACATCAGTTGGCTTTTAATGACATGGCTGAGGAGACCTGAAGCATGGCACCTTCGGTGTACTTCTTCGTCATTAGCTGGGTTAACCTACTTTCGCGCTCGTTTCGTCCGGCCTACTGTCCATTGCCTCGAGCTGTCCGGTACAAGTAGCCCGTTGGAGACGAAGACCCCCGATTGGAAAGGCACCCTATCTCGCCATGCACCGATGGCCTTCACAGTTGTTTCATACATGAACTCATTCTTCTTCTCAGACCGCTTTACGTCCAGAAGCACCATCGTGCTCCTGCCGGCACTTAAACGCACGCAGAGTGAGCTTCAGTGCAGACGCTGTGCAGCGCTCAGAAGGCAGCCCGTGCCTTATTCTTCTGTCCCGATCCCTCTACTGGAGCTATTCACTCTTTGCAGCTTTGAGCCAGTGCATACCTCTGTCATCCTGCGTCAACTTCAGAACCAGCAACGACAAAGAATGGAGAGAAGACGAGCCTGATGGCACTTGTTTCTCATCAGCCTGACACCTGAATGACAAGTCGAGACATCGAGGCAGGGTATACTCCCCTGACTCACAACTGCCCCTGAATCACGGAGGCTGTTCGTCTGTACCCGCAAGTTGCTGCCTAGTGGATCTGATGGCTTAAGCGGCTTAAGCCTGGTCTTGCAGAGTCCGCTCAAGGAGATCACGGTCATGGAGTTCTCGCACGTGCCCTACCAAGCCAAGGAGAATCTTCCTGCTTCCGGAACTTCGTGTGTTGAACGCTGCTGAACGCTGCTTCATGTGGTGGTGTGGCGTTTCGTGACCTTGCCACTCAGTAGTCGAGCCGTTCGTAGGTGTGTTTCCGAGCCGCGTCTCTCCGCTGTGGTTGCGGCCAGTAGTCTCGCGTGCTCGTGATGCCCGCAAATTTCTCCATCCCTTCTCGCACATACTGCACGAACTCGTTCCATCGCGCTTCATCTACCATGCCTTGCGCCGTGCGCCAGCGCATCAGGTTGCACTCTGCAGCGAGGAGGACCAGCTCGCGCGGAGGTCTTGAGGTACTCACCCGGCGCTTCAAGCTTCTCGTTTTTGCCCTCGTTGCTCTGGCAAGGACGGTCCAATCTTCCATCTCCTTGAAGCCACAGTCGGGAGAGGAGACGATGTCTAGCTCTGAGAAGACGTCGGCCTTCTGTGCCTCTTTGAGGTGCCAAAGTAGCAAGGGAGCACCGGGTTTCAATGCCTGTGTAGCTGCAAAAAGTACCTCCTTAGAGAGGAGACCGCTTTCTTGCAGCTGGGACAGGTCGGCATGGTATGTCATCTGATTGTGGTCCATGTACACCGCATCGACAGATTCGGGATCTAGCTCGGCTTTCAAATCCTGAACCAAGTCCTCACACTGACCGATGCGCACGTCGATCACGTCACTCAGGCCTGCGATCTCGATAAAGTTCATGGCCAGGCACGCGACTTCTGGATCCATTTCGAAGCTGATCACACGAGACCCGGCACCTAGCTGGCGGACCATCTTTGCTGCCGAGTAGCCAAGAAAAGTGCCAAACTCCAGAGCCAAGAGTGGCCTGCCGACTTTGCTTGGCTTTCCCTTGCTTGAGCCTTTGCCTGAGCCTTTGCTTGAGCCGCTACCTTGGCTCTGTCCAAGGCTTCTCCAGGCCTCTTCCAGGACCACACCCTTCTCGTCTGCTGCACCAAACTTTAGCCAAGCTCGCTTGCTGCTTCTCGAAAAACTCTCAAGCGCCGCTGCCGCCGATGCAGCATCGCCGGGTTTGGCCCTTGCCAATGCATGGTACAGTGCCCGAACATACTTGTGCGCCCTTTGGCCAGGCTGCGTCAGTCCCGGTGCCGGTGGCGATCCCTTTATGGAGCTCCCGAGCCTCGCAGCGAGGCGGTAAGTGACGGGGGTCCAGAGGCCCCTGAGCGCCATCAGTTCTAAGATCTCCTCCGCGGAAGCTCCCTCATCCCTCACAGCCATCGCGCGCAGCACGGCGGCATTTAGGACCGCGGCCTGGAGACCGGCAGCTTCGACGTTCTCTGCAAGGCCACGCAAGAGCTCCACTTGAGTGGGGGCATCCTTTGCCTGCCGTAGCTTTTCGGCAAAAGCCTCCTTCCCTGCAGTCTTTTGGACCCTCCGCCACAGGATGTCCGAGTCCAAGCCAAGCCTTGGCATAGCCCAGAGCACCTGCCCCAAGCTGTAGCCAAAGGGAAGCTTTCTCTGCCTAAGCAACGCATCCGAGAGCCGGGAGGCACAAGGCGGCGCTGACTCATAGACTTCCGGCGCCAGCCGAGCAAGAGACCAGAGAGCCCTTGAGAGGTCGAAGGTGCCTAGCCGTCCCAGCTCGGCTTCCGCGGCGGCCGCAAAGGCATCCGAAAATAGGGCATGCACCCCTTCGAAGGCCCCCAAGTTCAGAGTTGCCGCCGCGTAGGCTAGGTTGGCAAGCTTGGCTGCTCCCATCCTGCGCACACCCCGAGAAACCAGGAGATCGGACAGAAACTGGTTGAAGTCTGGGTCCTCCAGTTGAAACTGAGCGTAAGATGTGACTGCCTCCACCACCACCGGAGCTGACATGTCCATCCAAGTTTTGCGTGGCAGATCCTTGAGGTTATTCAGCATGTCAGCATGAAGAATCCTCATCTTTGCAAAGGCAGACAAGCCAGCGACTAGATCTCCTGCAACTGCTGTGCTGACTGGCTGCTTCATCAACAGAATGCTCTGGCGGATTTCTGTCGCACAGGTCGCAACCTGGGGGTCCACCGTGACCTCCCGCGGGCGCCGGCCTTGACGCAAAGTGGCTGCAAGCTGCTCCGCGTTTCGTACTGCAAGACGCAGCTGCTCTGTGGGATCCATGCCTTTGCTGCTCAGCCCCTTCCTGGAGGGCACTTCAATGCGTCGGCGGACAAACCTCCTGACTCTTTGACATGATCGCTTTGGTTGAGTGCAGAGGCTCAGAACGGTCAGAGCCGCAAAGCTCCGTGATCTGGATGTTTCAAGGCTGATTGCATTAAGTTGCTGTCCTGGGCAACACTTAGACTTCCATGTCCTCCCAAGAGGAAGGCGAAGCAGACCCGAGCGGCTATAGGAGCACCAGTGCGCAGCCATGGTACCATTGAGCCATCTCAGCGGCGGTAAATCGCGTCACTGCATCGGACTGCGCCTCTAAGTGGAAAAACTTGCAGTCACTCTTCAAGATAACTGAGGCTCTCTCAGCAGCAAGAGCGATGGATGTTCAGGGCTGTTGAGAGTGAGTAATGTCAGTAAACTGCTGCTTAGTGAGACCCTGGAAACCCTAAACCCTGAACCTAAACCCTGAACCCCAAACCCTCCCCGCAAGATTTTGGGAGCGGCGCATGGATTCTCCGTGAGACTCCTGCTTTGCTCGGCTGTTGAGCTGCAGGCTCTCATGGAACATGCGCCAAATGTGGGCCAAACCACCTTGTGTGGTGGCCCTGCGCCAGGTATTCAGGCTTCAACTACCGGGTAACTACCGCGTTCAACCGCGACATTTGGCTTAGGTGCTGTACACCCGCTAGAATCTCTAGACCCCGAAACAAAAGGGATGCGCAAACGGCCGGATGATGCTGGCCGATCTTTGTTAGGGCAAGGAGAAGCCTGGTGGAAAACGCCTACGATCAGAAAGCCGCTTTAAGCGCGTGGGCTTGACGTTGGCCCGTCAGAGATGTCGCAGCCTGCGCGAGTCAATAGATTACTAATGTTATTAATATTATGAATATGATCAATACTATCAAGTGTATTAATATTATTAATATTATTCATATTATGAAGA